AATATCCTTGTAAAACGTGCATTACCTAAACAGCAGGGAACAGTACTAAGAGTTGATTAACGATTAGCCGGTCCTTTGGAGAAATCCTTCAAAGGCGATCCAAGGGCTATTAACGCCCATCCGTGCACCCCATTGTTTTAGGAATGCACGAACCCTTTTTATTTCATCTACGGGAGCTGGATGTATATTTAAAAACGCCTCCTATCTTATCAAGACCTCACCTCAGCTCTAATCTTATTTGCTCTAACTTCTCTCTGATAAAATGTAGCTGGGTGTCTCAGTCACTCTTGGGAAAAAAGGCGAACTTCCAGGGCTTTGTATAACAGAAATAACAAAAACTTCTTTTAATTTAATGCGCGGTTATGATCAAGAGTCAGAAACACTCGAGCTATAAAAAAAAAGACGAGAATAAGCTGACAAAAACGGTTGACAACAGAATAAAAGAAATAATCACTTCCTCACAAAATTGAGCGAGGATAGGCGGACCATGAAGATGAAAAACTATCAACCTATAGGTTTACCATCGCGCAGACCAAATGAGAAAATCCCACAATTTAAGATAGCTAGCCAGGCTAAGTTACTAACAAAAAACCGGATAGTGAAAATGATGAAGTGCCGAACTATCAAATTATAGGCTAATCATCTCTCAGTCCACAGGAGGAAATCCCACAATTTAGCATAATTAGCCGAGTTAAGTTATGAACAAGAAATCACCCAAATACTGAAAATGGCGAAATACCGAAACGCGTCACACTGACAATATTCAGCGAGAATAGGCTAACCAAAAAGATGTATAACTATGAAACTATGAGTTTATCATTGCACAGTCCAGAGGAGGAAATCCCACAATTTAGCATAGCTAGGCCTTGCTAAACAAGAATTTACCAAACACTGAAAAAGGCAAAATGCCGAAACGCGTCACACTGACAATTTAGCGAGGATAGGCGGACCAAGACGATGTGTAACTATCAAACTTTGGGTTTGTCATTTTGCAAACCACAGGATATAATCTCAAAATTTAACTTACTTAACCAGGTTAAATTATGAAAAAGAAATCACCCAAACACTTAAAATGTCAAAATGCCATAACGCGACTCAATGACAAAATTCAGCGAGGATAGACGGACCAAGATGATGGATGACTATCAAACTATGGGTTAATCATTGCACAGCCAGAGGAGGAAATCACACAATTTAGCGTAACTAGCCAGGCTAAGTTTTTAACAAAAAACCGGATACTGAAGATGATGAAGTGCCGAACTATCAAATTATAGGATACTCATCTCTCAGTCCACAGAAGGAAATCCCACAATCCAACCAGGCTAGGTTAAGTTATTAACGAGAAATCACCAAACATTGAAAATTCCGAAATGCCGAAACGCGTCAAACTGACAAAATTTAGGGAGGACAGGCGGACCAAGACGATGGGTAACTCAAACTATGGGTTTAGCATCTTGCAGAGCACAGGATATAATCTCAAAATTTAACATACCTAACCAGGTTAAATTATGAACAAGAAATCACCAAACACTGAAAATGGCGAAATGCCTGAACGTATCACACTGACAAAATTTAGCGAGGATAGGCGGACCAAGACGATAACTACCAAACTATGGGTTTATCATCTTGCAGACCACAAGATATAATCTCAAAATTACCTAGCTAGGTTAAGTTATGAACAAGAAATCACCCAAACACTGAAGATAGCGAAATGTCGAATCGCGCCTCATTGGCAATATTTAGCGAGGATAGGCGGACCAAGATGATGGGTGACTATCAAACTATGGGTATACATCTCGCAGTGTACAGGAGGAAATCTCACAATTTAACGTAGCTAGCCAGGCCAAGTTATTAACAAGAAATCACCCTAAAGTTTTAAGTTATGAACTAAAAATCACCCAAACACTGAAAATGGCAAAATTCAGTGAGGATGGACGGACCAAGAAGATGCGTAATTGTCAAACCATAGGTTCACCCCGCTGAGCATAGGGGGAAATCTCACAAAAGGAATGCAGTTTATTTATCAAGTTGAAAAGTCAAGAAGCTCTAAATTTCTTAAGGTACTTTCCCAGCCCGGCCGCAAAGTCGTCAAAAGCTTTTATGTCACGTACTTGGTCCCGGGATCCGTTTCAAGGCCCATTGAGAACCGAAACAGGTAGATCCTGCACGCGGGCAAGACAAACAATATCGTAACGGAGGAAAAACGACATTTCGCAAAGGTGCAAAGTTCATAATGTAACAAAATTCAAAAAGCGATGAAGCGAAAGTACAGCAAAAGACCATGCCGTTATAAGAGTGGACAGTACTGAAGACACGGATGAATAAGCTACGAGGATAAGATAAACCCGAAAAACACTTTTTTTCGACAAACTATCAGAATGATTTGTGGTGTACTTAGCGTAAAAATAAAAATTTCTAAAAATAACATAATTTTTCGTAAATTTGATATCATTTTACTATTGTATGGGTAAATTTTTCATAATTCTCGCAAACTATAATTTAAAAAAATATACGATGATTTTTTTTTTTTAATTTTGATCATGCTTAATTACCGAACATGTTGAGCCATCCTTCGACCCTGCACGGGTAGATGATCTTCTTTGACGCTGCTCTGACCATTTTAATCCCGTCTGAGCACGACGGCGTCTGCCTCCCTGGCACAGAACACACAGAAAAAAAACACGCGTAACACTTTCCACCGGGTCCGACACTGGCACAACGCACTTATCGCCTCGTTCGCCCGGCACCGACTGACGACCACGAGCACGACCCGCCATCCTCACGGAGACGGCCCGAATCCCCACCGTGAGCGAGGCATGCGCCAATCGTAACGCGCTTGTTGCGTCTTCAAACTCGCACATTTTATTATTATTATGCAGCTTTTAAGATTAGGTTTTAATCTTTTGGAAACAACGGCTCTTTTTCAACAGCCCCATTTTGATCAAAACAAAACACGAGAGACGGTAGACTTCATACCGACCGAAACAAACCTCAAGACAATAAAGTACTGCTGAAGATGGTCGAGGAAAAGGAAAATGCAGCGTATTCAGTACCATAATGAAATTATCTTAAGATCATAGCGTTAAGAATGTTGGTAGTTATTTTAATTAAACACACCATTTTATTTTATCCTTTCAATTAATTAACATTTTTATATAAGGTTTTGGTTGAAAAGAAAAAGCTAGTGTTATGAGCGGGATTCGATATGCCGCTGGTCTAACCGCTTGAGCTATCGTGATTTCGATCCACTCAGACACCAACTACCCATCTCAACCTATAACCTTCCGAATTTTCCCTCCTTTTGCCATTTTTTCCGTTGGTTCGAATCCCTCTCGTGACACTAGCTTTTTCATTTCTACCAAAACCTTACATAAAAATGGTAATTAATTGAAAGAAGTAATTTGCTCAGTCGGATACTAAATATGGTGGATTTTATTTAATGCCATATACACTGACAGGCAAAAAATTCCATCCAACTGATTTTTGTTTTCATTTTTCATTTTGTTTTAAATTTTGTTTTTCATTTTCCTTAGCAATTTACTTTTTTTTTACTCTTTGAAAAAAACTCAATTATTAAACGTTAAAAAACTTGAAACTTTGATTAATATACAAAAATATATACAAATTAAGTTATATTACAAGTGGGCGGAATTTTTTGCGTGTCAGTGTAATTTCAATTGCTAATGCGTTTCGCGCCAAGTCCCTGGTCCCTCTTCAGAGCTTAAATATTTCATTGTATTGGGTTGGTCCAAAATTAATGCAGATTTTGAAAACTTGTTTTAGTTTTGCACATGATTGTTATGTAAACAAAGCTAAATCCTCAAATCTAATTTATGGATTATAATAAATACTTTTTAGCTGTTATCTTTCATGCAAAACATTTTAGTTTTTGTTTAATTAAGATTTTGGTTGAGATAAAAATGTCAGTGTCACGAGCGGGATTCGAACCCACGACCTTCGGCTAAATACTCTACCACTTGAACTATCGTGTCTTCGACACACGAGCATTGGAAAATGGCAAAAGGTTGGGTTGAGGTGGGAAGTGGATAGAAGTCACGATAGCTCGAGGTAGAGCAACGGCGTATTTAGCCGAACCTTGAAAACTGCACTATTTAAAAAGATTTTTTTTTTAGATGCCATTTTGCTAATTTAAAACAACTTTATTGCGTTTTGAAAGTTGGTGTACGGGATCAAGGATTAGTCGTTACAGGACGTGTCCCGATGTCGATTCTTCTTCCTACCATTAATCAGCTGACCCGTGGAAACTTACGACCTAAGTAGATATGTTCCGGATTGACCTTTATGTCCATATTTATTTAAAACATGCATTTTCCTTTATGAACGTGAGCAATTTTCTAGGTATCAATTTCTTATGGCGTTTTAGGCTTTGCGTTCACGTAGGACGTGTTGCTACGTCTCTGCCTTTGCCAAGCATAGTCTTCAAGTATGAATCTCAACATGGTCCATAATTATTGGTTGAGATAAAAAAGGCGTGTCACGAGCGGGATTCGAACCCACGACCTTCGGCTAAATACGCCGCTGCTCTACCACTTGAGCTATCGTCCAATCCAATGTCCATTAACGAAACCATGGACTTTGAAACACCTGATTCGGCAGTGAAGATGGCGAAACGTTAAAACGCGTCTGGTAGACCAAAGTAGCAAGTATAGATATATCAAACTAATCGGAAACGACCAAACTACAGTTCCATCACTCCGCAGATTCCAAGAGGGAATCTAAATGCGGTTACTAGACGTGATTGTCATCAAAGTTTGCGACGTTTTGGGGAAAATGTTATAAACTTGAAAGACTCGCTTATAATGTACATTATACAAACATGTCATTAATAAAATTTTATTAGCCCTCTTATTTATGGAAAGAAAAATTAAAGAATTTTTCTGGACCTTTTTCGGGACATTCGCCGTTTGAAAAGGGGTTTTCGGTGATGGTTTCACGAAAAAAAATTAAAATTTCCCAGGAAATGATTTTAGAAGAACGCATTTGAAATTAACATGTTTTATTTTGATTTTCATGGGAAAATTGTTAGGAAGCAGCCATTCGAGTAAACAGAAACGCTTCCGACGATTTCCTTACTTTGTGGAAAACGCTCTCAGCTGTACTCGACCTCTTTCGAGTGGGCGAAGTGCGGCATGAGCTTTTCCAGAAGGACGATCCGGTTGTTGAGCCCGTTGACGATATCCTCGCAGACGGACGCCCACGACGAGCCAGTGAGCTTAAACCTACCGAGTTGGACTTCGATCATGCCCGCCAAGTCTCGCTTCTGCCTCCTCGTCAAACTCCTGCCCAGTTCCTGTATGTCCGAAGTCAGAAGGTGCATGAGGAACCTGAAACGGAAAGACGAGGATTAAAAGAACGATCCATTGAAAGTTTAAAATAAAGGACAAAACTGTACGGACTTTATGTTGGTCTCTGTGTCCGTCCCGAGATCGACTATCCTTTCGGGATTCCATTTTCCAGACCCGGAATCGTCTTGCCCCTCGTGGTGAGCGAACATGGTCAGTATGTTGACGGTGACTTCTTCGATGTGCTTGGCGTGCAGTTTGACTTTGGGCTTCTCCCTGTCGCCCTGGGCGAAGGATTCCGGCGTAATGTTCTCGCTCGTCTGGCTCGTAGAAGACGAGGTCGAATGCTCTTCGAGTTTCGAGGATTTCGATTTCAGTTGGTACTGCCCTTCTTCGTCCGGAAGAGGCGAGTTCATGTACGGGTTGCTGGACGGATGGGGCACGATGAGCGAGGAGGCCGCGCTGACCATCTTCATCACTTCGTCTTCCATTTTCTCCGGCTGCGATGGACAACTGGAACTTTCGTAATTCTCCACTTTTAAAACGTACTCAGATTCGATTCCGATCAACTTTTTTGATGGTAACTTGAATTGACTATCGCCGGAAAGGGGGTACATACTTTGGGAATCGTCTTTTTCCGGCCCGATTTGTAAGTCGTTTTCTTGCATTTCACGGTTCCCCTCCCTGAAAACCTTAAATTGTGAATTTGCCATCGGCGTTGTTTGCCAGAATGAGCTCGCCGGACTTACATCTCTCCTCTGCTCGGATTTAATCCTCGATTTGGAATGAATCTGATTGAGCGGCCTCCAACATTCCGTGCCTCGCGGAGTCTCGATTTTTATATTGGACAACGAGGAGAGGGGCCCGCGGGACAGCATCTGCATCAACGAGGGCAACGCGTCTGGGAATACGTTTTTGTCGATTTCTTCGTTTTTAAAACTGGTTGTCTCTTCGCACTTGGCCGGTGGGAAAGACACGTCTTTCTTCGTCAGATTTCTCAGGCCCAGGCTTACGAGCTGGCTTTGGCCGAAAACGCCGAAGTTCACGCTCGGCTGAAAAAATTCGACATCGTTATACTACAAACCGAAAGCTGAAGCTTCACAGCCAAGAAGAACATAAGTTTTAGGGGGGAAAAGAAGAAAAGTTGACAGCCGCCAAAAGCAGAATTAGAAGATCCCATAAAGGCATTTACATTACCCCTAACCATCCCTAACCTGCTTCATAGTTGTTAATTTCAAATGATTTGAAGTACCCTCAGTAACGGCCTGAGGTGGATGTTCAAAAATCAAAACCAAGCCAACAAAGAATGAACTGATTGACCCTAACTAGACAAATCCAACAATGGTTCAACGTGTGTTCACAGGTGTTCTTCATAGAGTCTGAGGAGAGTAAAACACTTGAAAGACAAAAATTATGGGAAACGACCAAACTACAAGGATAAAATATCTAGAACATGTCAAAATGTTGTATAAAGACACGCATAGTGACAATCTAAACTTTCTTTGCTTTAAACCAACAGCATTTTGGTCTTGGTCTGAACCTGTCTGAAGATACCTAGAATTAAGCAAGTTAAGAAACAATTTCAAACCAAACAGCAGAATTTATTCAATTATTTAATTATTCCTAATATTAACGGGAAGCCTAAAAATTCCAAAGCTAAGCGGGACACCGATTCCATTCTCAAAAGAAGCTAAATATTTAGGGGTGTCACAAGACCTGCGGCTCACATGGAATCCACATTCAATTAAAACTACCCAAACAGCCAAAATTGCCTGAGGGAGGTGTGCTAAAAGCTAATCAATGTTGACACCTGGAACGGTGGTGTGGTTGACCAAGACTTTCCAAGACAAAGTGAGGCTATTAAGTAGCACCCAAAGACAAGCTTGCCTAAGTGTCACTAGAGCCAATGCTAATGCGGCCTAGGAGGTGTTGTTAAACCTTCCACGCTTCATATTTTATTCTAAGGAGAAACCAGAGCAGCAGCTAACATGCTTTTAAACAGACCACCATCTACAAGGATAGGCCATGTCCACAAACAATGGAAACCGGGAGGAGATACAGACAGATGCCATACTAAGCATGCCAATCAATGGGAAGAATGGGCCAGAGGAGTACCTCCTACAGGTATACTTATAGTTCAAAAATAAATGGAGGCTGGAGCCCTTGGGATGAATCCAAAGACCAGATTGATTTTAAACTCAGGTAAATACACTACAGTTTTCCAGTCTGAAATTATAGCAACTAAACACTGCAGCAGAGAAATAAAAAGGCTTGGAATATATTCTTGAAAGATAGCTATTTTCTCTGACAGTCAGGCAACATTTAAGGCCTTACCTTCATGCGGTAAAGGCAAAAAATTTATGGAATTGTATGGAATCCCTGAGAGAAGTCAGTAACACTAGTGACCTCACCCTCACATGGGTCCCTGGGTGTTCGGCAATGAGAGGATGAATAAGTTGGTCAAAAAAGGAGCCAGTATGAGAATTCACCCCAAAACCTAATGTGGCCTTGTATTTTACCACAAAAAGGTAGAATGATATATAATAGGAAAGAGGTATAATAAAGAGGTGGTATTTAAGAGTGAGTGAGTGTGTGAATGGATTTAGGAATTGAGTGTGTTGGGGCTTACATGGCCTAGCTGTTGATAGCCCTTGGACCCCAATCTCGATGCTATAAAGATATAACAGGATAGATAAGACCAAGGTCTGACCTCCTGTCAGCACCGGTAGGTGATCATCAAGGCCCATTCATTTCAAATTTCAAAGCTGAATTGTAGGTGGACTGGGAGAAGTGATTGACTCAACTCTGTACATGTGTGTATGTATTCACACACATGTGCATATTTGAGCATATATAAATCAGTAAATTTAGTAAAGGGTGTGTGGGTGTGTTCATCCGGTGCCATCACAACTATAGTGATTACAAGAGGTAATTAGATTAAAGGAAACTATACAACTACCAGAGTTTGTTACATCATCAGCTGAGCTGTACTGCAAAATAAGCACAGTTTGAGATCTAATGGTAGATATGAAGTTGGACCTAGGCATCTGATGACTGTCAATCCATCCTCCAGTGTCTGAAGTTTTGTCATACTTGGAATTATCTGTTTGCTATGGAGATAATATATAGTTATATAAGTATAATAAAGTAATTTCAATTACATCAGGGTAGAGAGAAGGTTTGAACTCAAAATTTTCAGACGACAATCGAGTCCAAGTGCCAGTGGAAGGAAGGCCGAAGGGTTTTCGCCGCGGAGGCGGCTCTTGAATGTTCGACGCGATGGAATAGTGTTGCTGAAGAGGCGGTTGGTACACAAAAGGTCTCACCTGCCAGTTGACCATAGGCGGAGGGTACCACTTGTACCTGAGGTTCCAGTTGTACTGGTAAGGTTGGTTCATTATGTAAGGTAGAGGTATTGGAGGCAGCAACGGAGGCAGCATCTGTGCCGGAGGCGTCAACGGAGGCATCAGCTGCGGTTGTGGCGGTAGCAATGGCATCATTTGGTGCGGCGGAGGTGGAGTGGGTGGTAGCGGCCTTCCGTAAGGTGGCGGCGGTTGCAGTGCATATGGCACCAGAGAATAGTTCATCCTGTTGGGTTCTTGGTAAGGTGGATAGAACTCCTTCTTCGGATACTTCAACTCGTCGCCATTCGGATTCCCATGGAAATTCACTTGGGGAAATGGGTACTGAGCGGGCAACATTGGCAGCTGCTGAACCGGAGGCGGTGATGGCGGTGGCCCCTGTTGCCACATTTTATAGTACGGATCCATTCTTTAATTCAGAGCAAGCGAAAAACTGAAATCTAAAACACAAATAATCACTTAACAAAGCTAACTTCACTTCAAAAGCAAACAAGAAAGTAAATTAATAAAAGAAAGCATATTGCGGCACAAACTCTGCAAACTGAACAAAAGGATCAACTTCGCTTAATAGGAACTACACCAGATGGTTACTATGGATAGCTTATTATACAGTATCGCACCGATAGATAGCATCCTTGCTTGATGTTTCTTACTGACTGCATCAATTCATAAAATTTCATTTAACATTTTAAAAAAGGCCGAATTGTGAGGTCTGCTCAATGTCCCAAAACACCCTGGGTCTGCCAAATCTTGCAAATAGATTACTTCGTTAATATTATGAAAGCATTATAGGAAAGCTTATTATTTACCAAGCTTTTCCTATTTGCAATATGTACATAAAAATATGTAAAACTGGCCATTAAATGAAACAGAGTTTCAGTAATTTTTAATTTATTGATGCCATTGAATCTACAGTTGCAAACCAACAAGCACAAGACAATTTTTATGCTTTGCAACTTATTTGCTCATTTATATTGGTTTGTAAAAGAATTAGAGTATTTTGAATGTTAGGTTCATCTGTAGTTCATTCTTGGATAACCTTAGTCCCACTTTCCTAGCTACTTTGGTCTGTGGTCTGCCAAACTCTGCATCTCAACATCTTCAGAGGTGGTTTTGTTATTTTTCAATAACAAAAAAAGTAGAAACAACAAAAACAAAACAAGTAGAGTATTTTGAATGTTAAGTTCATCTGTAGTTCATTCTTGGACTTTCCTCGGTGGAACAAAGCTCAACAAAAAGTAGCTACCCAAACATTAGGCAGCATACAAAGACTAGCAAACCTATGTATCACAGGGGCGATGAGAACAACCCCTACAAACTCATTAGAAACCTTGCTAAACCTACCTCCACTAGAAATATTCATACAAGAAGAGGCTAGGAAAAGCTCATTTAGGCTCCAAAAACAATTAAATTGGAGAGGAATTAAACAATTCGGGCATACAACCATAATCAACAAAATCAGACACCCATTATTAGAAATGGGGACTGACTAATGATCCCAGAAACAATCTTCACAACTTCCTATAAAGTCTCAACAGACTATAAAGGAGAGGAAGAACACAGGAGAGCATCAGATACAATGATATGGTACACAGATGGCTCCAAAACAAACGAAGGAACCGGATCAGGCATTTTCTGTACAAGCCCAAAATATGAGCAATCAAACTCATTAGGGAAGTACACTTCGGTCTTTCAAGCGGAAATACATGCCATCAGTGCTTGTGCCCTGGAAAATCTTAGAAGAGGTTATACTGAGAAAAAAATCCTCATAAGATCAGACAGCCAAGCAGCTATTAAAGCATTAGCATGTAAAAGAATTACATCAAAACTAGTCAGTGAATGCATCCAAAATCTCCAAAACCTGGGAAAACACAACAACCTGATGATAACTTGGGTGCCAGGGCACAGGGGAATTTTGGGTAACGAGGAAGCAGACAAACTGGCCAGAGGAGGATTTGCAAGACCATACATCCTTGGGATAACAAAAACAAACATAGAATCCTCCATCGCAGAATGGATCCAAGCAAAACAAAAAGAGAAGTGGATAAACTCTAGCGGTGCTAGACATAGTAAACTTATGATGAAACAACCCTCACCAAGAATGGCAAAAACACTGCTGCAATTGGAGAGGGCAAAACTCAGAGGAGTGGTGGGACTACTAACCGGTCACTGGTATCTGAGAAAACATCTACACAGCATGGGTATATACAGCGATGATCCTGCAGATTATGTAATGAGGAGGAGGAAACAGCCACTCATATCATCTTCGAATGCGAAGCAACACCTCAATGGAGGTTTAACCTAACGTACGAAAAAGACTTATTGCAGCAACTACAGTCAATGACCTGATACTTCTAAGAAGAAGGATTGAGTCTATTGACTGAACTAAGGAACTAGGAAGGTATAATGATCCTACAAGAAGACTGCAGTGCCTGGGGAATACAAATCCCTCTTCCTACTACCCTTTCCACCATACCATACCCACTTTCCTCGCTACGTACACTACGCTTCATCTGTGGTCTGTCAAACTCTGCATCTCAACGTCTTCAGAGGTGGTTTTGTTATTTTTCAATAACAAAAAAAGTAGAAACAACAAGGACAAAACAAGTAGAGTATTTTGAATGTTAAGTTCATTCTTGGATAACCTTAGTCCCACTTTCTTCCCTACTTTGATCTGTGGTCTGTCAAACTCTGCATCTCAACATCTTCAGAGGTGATTTTGTTATTTTTCAATAACAAAAAAAGTAGAAACAGCAAGACCAAAACAAGTAGAGTATTTTGAATGTTAAGTTCATCTGTAGTTCATTCTTGAATAACCTTAGTCCCACTTTCATCGGTGGAACAAAGCTCAACAAAAAGCAGCTACCCAAACATTAGGCAGCATACAAAGACTAGCAAACCTATGTATCGCAGGGGCAATGAGAACAACCTGCTGCCATTTTCTTTTAAATTTTTTTATTGCATTTTTAGCATCAGGGGGTTATTATGGTTAAGTCTGATTAGTTGTATTCAGTGGTTAAACCACCTTTTTATGTGTGTATGAGGTTGATTTTTTTTTTTTTTTGAATACTTTGTTTATTAGTCTGCCTATCATTGTCATATGTTCTATTTGTACTTCTTGTTTGTATTTTTCTCCGGTGCTATTTTTGTCTGTTACTTTACTCCTGCCAGGGTTAAGCCTGTATTCTTTGCTGAATTTGTGCTCATATGTTTTTGTAAGGATCAAATATCGGGAACATTTATGATTGCAGTTTTTCAGTTGTCGATTTTTATATTTATAATCAAAAGGAATATTTTAAGTTGATTTTCCTTTGATTTTCTTTGCCCCTTGTTGATTTCAGAAATCTGACTAGTCTCGGTCATATTTATAAAATTAAAATACGTTTACCTTAATTTATATGTCTTGAGATTAAAAAGAGAATGTTTTTGTAGTGTTAGTAATGCTCTTCTTCTAACGTGGATGCTGACGCGACTAAAGGATGGTCCTGAAAAAGGTTAAAATTTCCTTGATCAGCTCTGCTTAAAAGGAGCATTTTGTCAAAATACCTTCAGAGATTTTTCCAAAATCCTCAACCCTTGAAGAAGCTGTAATATAGTAAATTTGTAGCCGTCTTTGCTCTGTGAAACAATGGAAATCAGTAAAAGATAGATTGTGTAACAAAAAAAAAAAAAACCTCATCTGCGTAAGTTTGTAATTGTGTCAGGCTATCATGTATCCCTGCAATCGCTTCCTCCGATCTTGACATCAACTATAATAAATAGTTGTTAATTTTGTCAAAATAAATTTTTGTCTGCTCAAGCTGAGGGATAATGGTTGAATTATCAGACTATGGCTTACCTCTTGATTTTCTACAGCACAAAGTTGTCCCCCATTGCTAGATTCCTCCTGGTAATATTCAAACTCGCCTGTCTGTTTAAAAAAAAAAAATTAAAAAAAAGACCTCAAATTACATTCAAATATACAAATTGTCTTTACATCGAGCAAAATTGATGAATGTTCCCTCAGAGTGCTGTACTGTATTTCTGTTTTGATAATATCACCGATCGACACTAAGTCTTTCCAAAACTTGCTCACCTAGAATAAGACAGGCTTCAAAGACACAATTTTACTTGACAAACAAACACGGCCTGTGTTTTTACTTAAAGTAATAGATTTACTTACTAGCAAATAGGCTGTTAACGAAATAGCGATGAAAGTGACAATGAGCATGTTAAACAGTCAAGGGGCATTCACAGGGCAAAAGTTGTTCCCCTGGTATATCCTGGCTGCAACCCTATGGAACATGACTGATAATTTTGAACGAATATACTATTTCATGACATAATCCATCTGGTCTGAACATTTAAGCACAGCTGTTTGGATTATTTTTATAACAAACATTTGTTCATGTTGATTTACAGCATTATGAGGGGCACTTTTATCGATATACAATTTTTTTTAATGCGGTCCTATTCAATGATCTGTAGCAAGAATACTTTAACACACAAATATTTAAATATAATAATAAATTTCAAAAAGCCTGGGGAAATTGGCACAAAAATGTTTAAATTGTATTTTTGTAAGTATTTTAACAAGTGAAAAAGTTTTCATTGTTACATTATTTCTATTTTTCCTCCCTCCTTAGTTCATTTAGCCTTTCAGCCTTGCAAGAGAAATGCAAATTTTAAAAATTGATAGAGTTGTCAGAAATATTCATTATATTTTGTAAAGAATTTTATTATTATAAATATAGTGTTTTAGCAGCTCCCAGACTAATTGTTGCCACACATTAATAGTCATATAAATATGTATGTTATGTAAAATATACATATGTAATGTCATTTAGAAAATTAGAATTCCTCAACATTTAAAATTTTATATTTGTTTAATTTAACATCACTACACTGCTTGAAACCCATCGACCACTTGATTTCCACGCACCCATGATGATATGCTTCACATTTTATGTATAAAAAAGTACAAAATAATTAAATTTATTTAATTCGACTTTCAAGCTTATTGGTGGAAACATATGGTGACAATGAAAATCAGGAAAAGATGTAGAAATAAAAATCTACATTACCTAAGCTAATAAGCAAGTTTTGAATGATGCTGCTGAGCTGAGGGCCGGCAGATCAAGCACCCAGGGGGAATGGAACAATGAAAGAGACATCTACGACCAGTACCTCTCCCTATTTTAAAAAAAAATTTGACATTCATGGCAGTCGTACTAGTGCCAGCATCCACGTTCATCCCAGCTTCAAAGGTCCAATTCATGTGCCTCAACGCACCAATCCCCCGACACCCAAAAGCGGCTAGCGGGACTCGACCAAGTCGTCTCACAGTATGTTTGGTGCACTGTCACATCTTGTAGCTAAGTCTCGTATTGTACAAAAATTTAAATGGCTTGTCTATTGTCGTTCGGCCATCTTTAGTACGTCAGATAAAGTTAGAGTTCGAGCAAATTTTGTGCATTGGTGAAAATATGTTCGATGGTGACTGGTGACAAACTGAACATATTGAAGGGTTCTTTAGACATTAAATGAACGTGCATTAATCTAGTATGCCCTATTCTCAATCTAGCCAGAATTGTTCCTTCTTTCCTTGACTGATGGTTAGATGTATTCCACATAACACCAATTTTTATTTCTTTTAATTTGTTTTCAGCTACATTTACTATTTAGAGTATTTAAAATAAATTCATAAACAAATACACTTTGGTATCTCTAATCTTTATTTATTTATATTTGTGCAAATCAATGATCCTTTAACAAGATAACATGTGCCATTTTAAGGTTAGAGTGAGATAAGATCGATTATCATGACAATCATCATTAAATTTGATGTCTTCCTTTTCTGCTGAAAAAAAAATAAAAGGAATGCCTAAAAAAATATTGTCGTCTAAAGAAACAAAGAACCCTGGAAAGCGCTAAACTTCCTTGAGGGCACTTTTCCAGGTTAGGAAATACACCAAGGACAATTACAGGTTAAAGTGGAAAAAAGGGAGACATTTTGTTACGTTTACGTTTGAGAGTTTACATTTTATTTATCGTTAATAAAAAAATAAATAAGAAGGGTCCTAAATGAGATCCTTGAGGTACTACTGAAAAGATAAAAATTTCAATTTATACGATTTCACTTGGACTATTGGAGATCTACTGGTAAGACACTTGTTCAACGAAATTTTAGTAGTGTACCTGAGCATCATACGATTCAAATTTGGCCAACAAGTATTGCAGAAGTCTGTGTAGATACAGTCAACTTGACCTTATTTATTTATTTATGTAATGGCAGTTAATCTTTTACAGGTTTAATACAAAATATTACTCTCCTCATAGGACGTAGGACAGGGCTGTTAGGTAGTTTTGCTTGATGTAAGGTACATGAACAAGATTGTTATATCTTAGTGAAGGAATGTTAAAGTTAATTTGTACAAGTAGAGAAGGGAGACAATACAATTATCAATAAGATTCGGAGGGGGGTATCGTTGGCCGCAACGGTTTAGGCATTGACATGGCGCTCATCACTGTAAGGTAAAAGGTCCCGGGTTCAAATCCAGCGGCCCTGCGTTCGAACCCAACATAAGATTCGGAAAAGGCTAAATATCGCAGGATAATATTCACAAACTCTGCATTGTAGGGATATCATCTTGCAAATGGGTGTCCTTTTTCTCAATAGCCAGGGTTACCATTTTTTAACAATTCATTAAACTTATAATTTGGCTGTTACTGATCATTTGGTCAACCTACCCGGATGTCTTTCAGCATTTTCAATGTTTGGGTCTCACAGGCCAAAATCAGGAAGGATAGGCAGATCGAAATTGTTGGTAATGACCAAAATACAGGTTCATCATGCATTCAAAAAAAGTTTCGAAAATCTTTTGGTTTGATCATTTTCATGTCGCTCGACAAATGTCCATTGGGTCGTATTGCTTCTTTCCTCCTTCACTTTTACCAGCCGAAGACGGGGATGGTCACCTGGTTCAATGTCAGTTTTATCAGTGAGCATATTTATTGATTAAAGACAAATAGAGAAAAATGATTGCTGTCAAGGGTGTTTCAATTTTATAGTGTAATATTATTGACAGTCTTCTGCATCCAAACTGGTCGTCATGTTCCAATTCATCCAATTGGAACATGATTTGGGGTAATTGCATCTATATGTTCTAATCTTTGTAATTTTAATTAATTTATTTTTATTGGGTTCACAACAGCAGGAATCATTCAACTGGGGAGATGAGTTTGGTGTTAATACTTATATAAGATAAATTTTAAAAAAGCAGTTCATCAAGGAATAGTTAAAAGGAGATTCTCGGATTCATAACTTCACATTTGACACCACCATTTTTTCACTTTCCAATTTGCCTCTACCTGTTGTATTACTTAGTATTTGAGAATTTTTTAAGTTTTTTTTTTCAATCATATGTTTTCGGTTCCAAATTTTTTTATCTGAATTTTTCCCTTTGATTTGGTGAAAAATCGGTTCAAATCGTAATTATGGGCATCCGAGGGCTTGAAACGTTCCTTCACAACCATCCGGAATGCAACAGGCCGGTGAACCTAGGCGAGCTTGCCATCAGATACAAGTAAGTACTTCGTGTACTTACATCACCGAACAATTCGCAAAAAATTTCAAGTTATTCGAAAAGAAAGGTTTTGAAGTTGGACTTAAAGCTTAAGCCGTTTTGTTTCTTGAGTTTTGCTACTGTGTCCCATTTGTCAATGACTACACCACTTTGCCACTTCCTTGGCGCCTTACAAAGTTCAGCCAATGTGCATAAAAGTAATCAGGCCATCTAATCACAAGGTCTACTTGATTCAAATTTATTAAACTTGGTGATATACTTTTTTAATAGAATCTGTTGCGAAAATGGCCACGTGTCATTTGATAGAGTGAGTTTTATAATTAACTGAGCTCTAGAATTTTTAAATAAAGGACAGTGATGCCCATCATAGGTGCATTATACATTCAGATTTATGCAATAAAAAAATATTTGCCCATTTTTCCTTGACCAGTAATAATTATGTTTAAATGTTAAATATGTTTCCTTTCACCGACATACTTGACTCTATATCGAGGAAGAACTTTCTGGTTTGGGGTACATTAGGTGAACTACACTGTATCTTATGTCATCTTGGTCTGTGGCGATTATTGCATGTATCCTTTGGGTGTTATGGTATGCTACTACTCATCGGTGCTATAGTCCTTGAAGAGCCCTGGCCTCATCAACAATGCTGGCCTGGTCTGTCCACATGTCTCCTTTATTGTCCGATCTGCATCTTTCTGAGGTCATCCAACCATCTCTTTCTAGGCCTTATGCACAGCCGTGTACCACCTGACTTACCCGAGTAAGCTTTGTTTACAGACCGTCCTCTTGTTTCGACATAGACAGAACACCTGAGGCAGCTCGCCTTTATTTCAGCCACAATATCTTCTTTCTGGTACAAAACTTTGAACTCCCCATTTGTATGAATTTTCCAGTGATCATCCATGCAAAATGTGAAGATCTTCCAGATCTTCAAACACCTTTGTTCAAAAGACCTAAAAAATTTTCGACATGTCCTGGTCCACGTTTCAGAGCCATAAGTGCCACTGGCCTCACTTTCATTCGATAGATCTCAATTTTAAATTGCAGCTGAGAGACTGGGACCTGAACATTTCCCCCAAGGCAAAGTAGCACTTGATTCTTTCGACAATTCTTGCCTGAATCCTTCTTTCAACTTAGTAAGCTACCAGATAATTAAAGATATTTCAGCATTCATAAACCTCACAGTTGTGTAATGTAAATGGATTTGACTCACCAGTCTTGGTGCAGTTATTGACCAAACCCAATCTTCTTGCTTCCTGCGTCAACTTTCAAACCGTCTTCAAGCCCTCACAAATTTTTGGCAATCATGTTAATACATCTGTATATTTCATTTTTACCTGTCAGCCATTTCATTGGTTAATATTCCGCAGTGAGATTTTACTTTTTCTAATTGTATTTTCTATCCATGTTCTTTTATTTTTAATATGCATTTTGTATATTCAGAAACTGTCCTATTTTTAACATTTTAATTTTTTAATCCTTTTTAAAAAGATAGTTCCTGCTCACAGTAAGTCGTTTGCAACAATCCGGATTTTAAGCTTTTAGCTCCTCATCAGGTTGTAGAACCTTCAATCTGATGATGAGCTAAAAGCTTGAAATCCGGATCGTTGCAAAACAACTTACTGCGAGTAAGAACTATCTTTTTAAAAGGATTGAACACCGCATTCACTCCATCATTTATCATTTCTTTCCATTTTTTTATTTTGCTGACGAAGACCTTGCTTGTCCAATCTTTCCTGGATGAGGCCACTGATTAGGTGTTGGATTAGGATTTGGAGTCTCGGTGATAGAAGTTTGGTTCCGTTGATCGACATTTGCCACGGCTCAACTTTTATAAGAAAAAGCCAAAAGATAACTTGAAACTAAACCCTTCTCAAGGGTCACTTTTTTCAAATGCACATCGTACTGATTCCTTAAGATGACAGCGACGGTCAAATATGAGCAAGTTTATCAACAGATATGAGAAATATTCAAATGTCTCAACTTCAAACAAAGCCATGTCGTAAATGATCTTCCACTATTCGCACTCTTTGGGTCAAAGATATCGTTAATGATTAAATTGAAATCAACCCTTGGTTAGAATTGGCAACTTCAGTTATATACTTCTAGCACTGGTATTAGCAAATATTTAACTAGTAAATCAAATATACCAAATCAAATTTTCTAGCAATTTAAACAGAATTACAGGATAAATAAACCAACCTACTGAAATTTAAAAAAAAGTATATAACATTAACTTTCAAAAGTGTAAAATTGAATACATTACTATTATTACATTATTGTGCAACTTTGTGATAATCCTTTAGTTAATTTAAAACAAAAAAATTCTTTTTAGGAGGGAATATCAAAAGAATCCTATGCTAATATGGGATATAAGCTCGTCCATTATACATTTGTACAACAAATGCTGGGTGCCAGGCGGGCAGTTGAAAGAGTTCGCCTACGCCCTCGAGTTGTTCGTCCACAAACTCAAGGCCGTGGGTATCGAGCTTACAGTTTTCATCGACGGCCCCATCCTAAAAGAAAAGCTGAAAAATATCATCGCACAAAACAACCAAAAAATGCTGTACATAAACAAAGTCTTCAATGCTCTATGGGTAAACCAGGAGGACGATCGGGTTTTACAAAATTACCAAGGATTTTACCCTTACAACATTAATAAAGTCATAATAGACACCCTCAACGAATGTGAGTGCAAGGTGAGCCTTTCTTAATATATATTTAATGGATTTGACAAATAAATTTTGATGTCTTAAGTATTAAATACCTAAAATAATATTTTATCCAATTGGTTTCTTAGTACTCAAACTGAAAAAAAATTTTAAATATAAAAGTTGTTAAAATTCATTTAATATATATTTTTTTTTAATATACAAAGGAACTATTAGCAAGTATTATAATAAATTAATTTGTTTCATTAATAGGTAATTCAAGCAACTTTTCAATGTGAGCTTGAAATTGCAATTTATGCGAAACGTAACAAATGCTTTGGCATTTTGGCGCAAAACACAGATTTTATAATATTCAACAGCGCCAAGTACAACTTTTCTATGAAGCATCTCGATTTGGACACGTTGTCGACTGTGGCCTACATTACCGAAGAATTAGCCGATGCACTGCACGTTGAAGTGAACCAACTGCCGCTCATAGCAACGTTGATGGGAGGCAACATTTTCTTGTCGCTGAGTGAACTCCACGTAAGCGATACACGACATAACGGCATTTATTTAACTGGAAGGATTATGAATATTATGAATTTCAGCCTTTTCATCAAAAGCTTTTCAAAGAGAATGAGAAGTATTCAAGAAATGATACGTTTTTGAAAGTGGCTGGGTTTGTCAAAACGTTCGAACCTGCAAACAACTTTAACAACCAACTGCCATTACTGGCAAGGACTGCACTGGGGACTTCTAAAAAAGCCTACTTGCTTAAAAACTGCCTCAATACCTACCAAACAATTTTTCCTCATGAAGGTAAATCACTTTTTTAAAGACATTACAGTTTTACAAAAAAAAAAATATTATAATTCTAAGCATATAAGTTTTAACTGTACATTGTGGGACATAGTATGATGATATTAAAACTATTTGTAATTTTTAGACTTTGCTATTCAGTACTCTCCAGACAAAAAATGGTTTGAGGTACAGAAGACCGCAGTGAATCTGCACCGTAGAGCTAAGCTGCCTCCAATTATTTTCTCGGTGATATTCTATTCTCAGTATGTGGTCCACGTTTATCCAGAAGATCCGCACAAAAAAGGGAAACATTCGACATTTGGAGTAAGCCGTCCTGTTCGTCAAGCTGAGGAATACACCGTATGCTCGTTTATTTATTTTTTTTACAGTTAACAAGGACTCTGAGGCAAAAGCTATATGGAATAGTTTTTAACGAGAAGCCGTTAGAAACTAGAAACACACAAAAAGTTAAAGAAATATTCGTTGATTCAAAGGGGGAAACGCAAAGAGAGCTTATTAAGCCCATTTACCCAAAAAGTAAGCTTTTATTCAAATATACCATTCCTATAAAATGTGCTTTACTATGAATTTTAAAAAATAATAATTTTTATTACACAAAAGAAGTGCAATAAAATATTTGTTGCCGATTAAATAGAAAGGTCTAAAAAATTTAAACGATCTAAAAATTTTTACACAATTAAAAACTTAAATTCACTAATTTCGTGGTCCGCTTGACCAATTAATATATTACAATTAATTAAGGTTTTTAGTTGAGATAAAAAAGTCAATGGCACGAGGGGGATTCGACCTGCTCTACCACTTGAGCTATCATGGCAGCTACCCCACGGCTAAACGGAGGGAAAATACAAATGGTGGGGTTGAGATGGGAAGTTGGTGTCCGAGTGGGTCGAGGTCACGATAGCTCAAGTGGTAGAGCAGCGGCGTATCTAGCTGAAGATCGTGGGTTCGAATCCCGCTTGTGCCATTGACTTTTTTATCTCAACTAAAAACTATTAAAAACGTTTTTGCTTCTGTTTCTGTTTTTGTTTAATCAAATAATATACAATACATTGATATTTCCTTCAGTGAACGTTGATTTGGTCAAGTTGTGGACTGACACTGAAGGCGATCTGGATGAGATAAAATGGGATTTGTTCTGCTCGTCTTTAAACATCCAACGAGAAATCCTCTTCATGGAAGAACGCCATCTTCTCATACCTGTGGCTTCCCTCAAATTTTTATTAGTGAGTCAAAAACTCCGAGCGAAGTTTTTTTCTTCTTTTATAATTTTTAACGTGACTTATAGATGAACAAGTTTGACATTTCAACTTGGGAACTTGAAGCTGCAGTAGCGACGATGTTACTCCTCCAGTACTATTCGGTAAGAGATTTGGAAGCGATCCCCGAATTTCCGATGGACCCTCGTGGCATCCACCTTTATTGGTCTTTCATCAGGGTTTTCGTCGCAATAGCGGAACTCAACAGTGTCTGTGGCCATCCGTTGGATTCTGAATTGGTAAACAACACACATGGTTTAAAATTTGGTAAACATTGTCCTGACATTGTCCCATGTATAAGGCAAATCCTATACATTACCAAGATGGAAAGCTGTTCCTTCACAAATACAGACAAGCGAAGGACAACAAATCTTTTGATAACCTCTGTGAATTCAGGGTATTATATTTACAGTAAAACATTACTTTTCTAACATTTAACTGGAAATTTTCTTTTTCAGCAAAAGGAGATCAGATCCGGTAAGAAAATAATGTCACTGATATTACCCAACAAAAATTGAATATGCGAAGGAATTTTTATTGACCTGTCCATTATATATATTTTAAAATGTATCCATTTGTTTCGAATTGTTGTTTTAGAAAAATACATTCCGATAACAATTTTTTTAAAATTAATTTATCATTAGAATTTATTTAGTAGTAATTATTTTTTTAAGTTCTTATTTCACCATTTCCATTGCAAACAAGTACAAATTGGTCAATTTATCATGTTTATCTCATTTATTGCAAAGTTTATGGGCTTAATTCTTGCACCAAACAACTCAGCAGGGTCGTTTACTATTGAAAACAAGTAAAAACCTGCCTAAAATGTCATTCCTAAGTTTCTCCTTTAACTTTCTTAAAGTAACATATAGTGCTGCTTGGCAGGATACGGGTTTTGGCAAAACATTTGTTTACAAATTGATAACAGTGCCAGTCCCAGTATTGAGCCTTGTCAAACATCCGCTGCTGTATGAAGGTGGGCGAGAGAGAACTGCAAGTGCAGCGTGAAAAAACTTCTTTTTGAGATATGAGTGCGCAAGTTTTGTCAGCGCAGAAGTTTTATTCAATTATTAGGTAGACAATCTCATCGTATTACGCAGGGTCAACAAGCATCATCATTCTTTTTAAAGCATTAATTCTTTGATTTTAAAGAATTATTTGAGCAATTGTTCTCCCATAAAGTTCAGCTAAGAAGATGCCCTATGCAATTTATGAACTAACTTTGCCTTAAACAGCTTGCATATTGTTTTTTTTTTTTTGTTTTTTTTTAATTATTTGCTTATTAAATATTTTGAACCCGTATCCTGTACAAAATGGTAAATATCAAAGTTCTTGACATTACTCATGTTTGATGGTATTTCTATTCCCTTAGGTTTTTATTTAAAAATTTCTTTTAAGAGGTTCAGCTTATCCAGTTTATTTTATTATCTATAAATTATAAGACAATAATTATAATTTTTATATTATAAGGTTTGTCTTTGTCTGAGTCTGAACATTTAAGCACAGCACAGCTGTTTTGATGATTTTTCTTCCAAAATTTTTTTTCTGGTTAGGTCAAATTCCAGTTTAATGCACACCAGACATTAACCTCAATGAAACACCGATATTTTAAATGCAAAGAAAAATTATAATTTAAGGGATATTGAAATAAACCATGGAGAAAATGTGCACACTTTTTTTACTTCTTTTTGAATTTTTCTTCATTTGTTTTTAATCCCTTTTCACGTCCATGGTTAGGGGGGAAAATTTTAAATTCATAAAAACCATACGATTGCCCAGATCAGCCTTCAGATTTTTTAAAAATTATTTATTGCCAATGCATTTCAGTTTGTCACTTGATCATACTACTTACTAGAATAAAAGAACATTTTAAAAGATAGAAAAAAGTTCAAATCCTTTTCAATATTTTAAATTTTCTATTTATTTAATTTAACAGCAAAAGAATTCAATAGTTTTACATCTTAAATTCACCCCTCTTTGAATCGATAATCCTTTAACGTTCTGTACTTTACTAGTTACTAAATGTTTATTTAAAAGCCATTCAATTTTTTCCGTTATCTCTTGAAGCGAAAATTGATTTTCCAGATAAACATGGATCGCATACTGAGAATGGAATATCACCAAGAAAATAATTTCTCAGCAGTTTAGCCTTAAGGTGCAGATCCGTCGCCGCCTTCTGCACCTCAGACCACTTGTCATCTGGAGAATACCGAAATCTAAAAAAATGGCAATTATATTATCACTGTTAAGAAAATAATAAAAGATTTATAAAGCAAATCACTGAGAAGTAAAGCGAAAGAAAAAATGTACTAAGATAAGACAATAGGTAAGTTTTTATTTCACTAAACAATATATAATTAAAATAATCAGCATATAAAAATTATAAAAATGTCAGTACATTTATGGATATTAATTTTATTTAAACAAATAATTAATTTAAACGCTACCCTGCTTCACTGACATCTGTTTTGCTAAAGTTAAAAATATATATTAACATTTATATAAAAACTTTAAATCATCAAATATATTTATAAATTTATTTTATAGAATTTTTAGCACTAGAAAGATACATTTTTAGTTAGGCAAATTTAAAAATTAAGTTACTTTAAATAAATTTACAAATTAAAGGTTTATTTTTTTTTTGTTATATTCTTCCTTTTTTCAATTACACTGTCCCTTAGGCAATCCTCCATTGATTATCTTTCTGCAATATTTGGTCCATTTTAAAGGATTACAGGATTAATCTCATAGTTGAAATACCCTTGTAAAAAAAGTAATTAAATTAATTAATTCACTACTTTCGTGATCCGCTTGACCAATTAATACATGACAATTAATTAAGGTTTTTAATTTTTTAATGGCACGAGAGGGATTCGAACCCACGATCTTCGGCTAGATACGCCGCTGCTCTACCACTTGAGCTATCGTGACCTCGATCCACTCGGACATCAACTTCCCATCTCAACCCCACCTTATGAGTTTTCCCTCCTTTTGACATTGTGCTGTGGTAGAGCAGCGGCGTATCTAGCCGAAGGTCGTGGGTTCGAATCCCTCTCGTGCCATTAGCTTTTTTTTATATCAACTAAAAATCTTAATTAATTGTCATAAATGAATTAATTTAAAAAAATTATATTATTATTATTATATTATTTAAGAACATTTATTTACATTGATTTTTAAGCCAATGTCAGCACACCAGACTAAAATGAGTTCTTGAAGTGCTTGTCATTAATAGATTTAATTGAGTGATAGATTTTTATATCATACATGATAAGTAAAAAATTTACATCAGAAAAAACATCTGCAACATCATTTACATAAAGGACAAAAAATAAAAGACCGAGATGCTACCCTTGAGGTACACCACTGGTAAAAATAAAATGCATAAATTATAAAATTATTTAAAAAAATGCATAACTTCTTTGCAATAGTTGCAATATGCGCTGTTGAAGATGTATTTCACGCCGTGGTCGAATGTTCAATATTGAATGTCATACGCTTATCATATTTTGGTTCGGTTGTGTTGGAAATGGAAAATTCCTTCAAATATTGAATCGATAGATACTCTTATTCTGGTGCGGTATGCCTGGCATGCTTGGAGTATTGTTATGATTTTTTTCCCCAATGCCGGGCCGCAGGTTTCGAACCCGGGATCTTTATCTTACAGTGATGACCGCCTTGTAAACTAGTGTAAGTTTCCTCTGTATTTTTAATTAGTATGTGAGCAAATCCATTTTATTTTATATATTTTTTATTTTATTTATTATTATTTTTGACATTTTTTTTTAGTTATAATTATAATGGAGAGTAATTTATTTTGGAATTATTTCTCTGTTAATTATGCACATATTTATCAATAAAAGTACATCTATCTATCTATTTATATACTTATGATAAGGTTTTTCAAACCCATGGGCAATATTGGAGTTTCATTTCACTTTCAAAGCTGTGGTTTTATTAGCTCGTTTCCAAATTAAAATAAAAACTCTTTCCTTTTTATTCTCTTCGGCAATTTTACCATGAAGGATAAAGGCATTAAGGACCTCCTCAACAGCAGTGCCTCCTCATCCGAATCCTCACCACCCAAGATTCCTCTTCTTCCAGATCTTGTAAAAGCTCAGCGATCTACTCCTCTGTCTTGTACAACATTTTCGAGACAATATTGTCTTAGAAAACATATACGCATTATAAATAAATAAGACGCACGGGTATTACACAAAGTTAAAAGTTGAAGAATGTGGCGGTACGAGGAAAAGTAATTGAAAGGGTTTGGGATGTCTTTTCATTTTAGCCGAAAGCATGGTTAAAATATTGATAGTGTACATAACACTAAGACATTATGTAGAACCTTATTATATTCTTTTATTATAGTTATTTATATTATTATTAACCTATTTAATAATAATAAGTTATATATATTATATTATTCAATATTAGTTATAGCGTTACTTTTACAGAAAAATGCACTCGGCTTATTAGATGTCGATTAAGCACAATTGCATTTTTCTCCCCCTTCCTGTTGGCATCAACTCTCTGACTCAGAGCAACTCTTTTGCGCGTTACCAGCATTTTTTTAAACAAAAAAATATTTTTTTCTCATATTATATTTACTTTACTTTTTTGGAAAGTGAATACGTGTGCTTTATCATCAAATATTTAGGTAGAGGAAGTATGATTTATAGTACACTATCACATTTGTATTTTTCACAAATGGTGAAACCATTGTAGTTAAGTGGTTTCTTTGTTTCAGTCATATATATTCGATTGAACATTTTTTTCTCTCTTCGATTTTGCAGAAACGATCACTTCAAATCGTAATTATGGGCGTCAAAAATCTTGAAACGTTCCTTCACAACCACCCAGAATGCTATACTCCGGTGAATATGGACGAGCTTGCCGTTGAGTACAACTAAGCACTTAGTCAAGTTGTAAAGATTTCCTCCTGTTGTCTGATAAATGTTTACAATTCAGTTTTATTAATGTGTGTTAATATTTAATTATCAATATAAACTTATTCATGAATATATCATATTTATTAATTATTTATATAGCCATTTATTAGTACAGTGTATAGCTAATTATTAGTGGACAAGCGATGTTAATCTGGGCTAGTGACCAGAGAAGAACATCTATAAATAAATCATATTGATACTGGAGAGAATTTGATTTTTGAGAAAAATTGTATTTAATGAGAGAAAAACTCTTACAAAAATGTAAATTTGTACAATAATAATAATAAGTGTTTCATTGAAGCCACATAGTAAAAAACAATGTTTACAATGTCGAAGTTGCATTTTGTTTGTTCTAATAAGTTCATGTTTTATTTATATATTTTTAAATTTTATTTACACATTTTACATCATACTTATAGCAAATTTAAAAACTTTGTGCTAATCTGACAGTTAATTTTATTTTAAAAGTTAATACATTTTCGTTTTTTAGAAGGAAAAATAAAAGAAATCCTGTGCTAATATGGGATATAGGTTCGTGTTATACATGGCTGTATAACAACAAATGTTGGGTGCTCGGTGGGCAGCTGAAAGAGTTCACCCATGTTCTCGAGTCGTTCATCCAAAAAGTCAAGGCTGCAGGTATCAAGCTTATAGTTTTCAACGGTGGCCACATCCAAACAGAAAAGCTGAAAAAAAATATTTCACTCAAGAAAGAAAGAGTGTCATATCTAAATGAAGTCTATAACTTTCTATGGGGAAATCGGCAAAACGACCAGGTTCTATTAAAATATTTCAACTTTCTCCCTTCCAACATTAATGAAGTCAAAGTAGATACCTTCAGCAAATGTGAGTGCAAGGTGAGCCTGAGTGATATATATTTGATGAATTATACATATATAGCATTTTTCACTCAAATGAAACCTTTTTCCAAGCAAATTAAACCTTTTTTTAAGCAAATGAAACCTTTTTTCAAGCAAATGAAGCCTTTTTTTAAGCAAATGAAACCTTTTTTCAAGCAAATGAAACCTTTTTTCAAGCAAATAAAACCTTTTTTCAAGCAAATGAAACCTTTTTTCAAGCAAATGAAACCTTTTTTCAACCAAATGAAACTTTTTTCTATCAAATGAAACCTTTTTCCAAGCAAATGAAACCTTTTTTCAAGCAAATGAAACTTTTTTTCAAGCAAATGAAACTATTTTTCAATCAAATGAAACCTTTTTCCAAGCAAATGAAACCTTTTTTCAAGCAAATGAAACCTTTTTTCAAGCAAATGAAACTATTTTTCAATCAAATGAAACCTTTTTCCAAGCAAATGAAACCTTTTTCCAAGCAAATGAAACTTTTTTCCAAGGAAATGAAACCTTTTTCCAAGCAAATTAAACCTTTTTTTAAGCAAAATAAACCTTTTTTCAACCAAATGAAGCCTTTTTTTTAAGCAAATGAAACCTTTTTTCAAGCAAATGAAACCTTTTTTAACCTAATGAAACCTTTTTTCCAAGCAAATGAAACCTTTTTTTAAGCAAATGAAACCTTTTTCAAGCAAATGAAACCTTTTTCCAAGCAAATGTGACTTTTTTTGATGAAATGAAACCTTTTTTAACCTAATGAAACCTTTTTCCAAGGAAATGAAACCTTTTTCCAAGCAAATCAAACCATTTTTCAAGCAAATCAAATCTTTTTCCAAGCAAATGAAACCTATTTCCAAGCAAATGAAACCTTTTTCCAAGCAAATGAAACCTTTTTCCATGCAAATGAAACCTTTTTACAAGCAAATGAAACCTTTTTTCAAGCAAATAAAACTTTTTTCCAAGCAAATGAAACCTTTTTTTAAGAGAATGAAACCTTTTTTCAAGCAAATGAAACCTTTTTCCAAGCAAATGAAACGTTTTTTTAAGCAAATAAAACCTTTTTTCAAGCAAATGAAACCTTTTCCAAGCAAATGAAACCTTTTTCCAAGCAAATGAAACCTTTTTCCAAGCAAATGAAACCTTTTTCCAAGCAAATGAAACCTAAAACCTAATGATAATAATTATGTAGAGGAATAAATAAATGACATTATAGTACTAACAATAATTTTTATTATGATTGAATATTAATATTACAATAATTGTATCGTAAGGCTTAAGTAGAAGAACGTTTCTTGTGAAGATCCGTATTCATCAAACTTTTCTACATCCACCCCGTCGAAGTTTAATTAGGTCGGATAGAAAAGTGTTTTTGAGCGAGCAACAACTTTCTGTGATAGAAATTATGAATGATGGAGTGGGTGTGGAGTTCAATCCTTTTTAAAAAGATGGTCCCTACTCACAATAAGTTGTTTCGCTCAATCCGGATTTCGAGCCCTTTAGCTCATCATCAGGTTGACGAGCGTTTTCGCGTTGGCTGGGGTACCAGCAGATTCACTTTTGCGATTCATGTCGAGAGACGTGTTTGTAGAAACCCTTCACCGACGATCGTGGGTTCCAATCCCGCTCGTGCCATTGACTTTTTATCTCAACTAAAAACCTTAATTAATTGTAATATATTAATTGGTCAAGCGGACCACGAAATTAGAGAATAAAAATTATTTTTAGTACTATAATGTCATTTATTTATTCCTCTACATAATTATTATCATTGGGTTTTAGGTTTCATTTGCTTGAAAAATGATTTCATTTGATTAAAAAAAGGTTTCATTTGATTGGAAAAAAGTTTCATTTGGTTGAAAAAAAGTTTCATTTGGTTGAAAAAAAGTTTCATTTGACTGAAAAATGCTATAAATAAATTTTAAAAAACTGCTTAAAATGATCTCTTAAGAATATATCCTTAAAATAATAAGTATCCAACTTAAAAAGCAAAACAAAAATTAAAATATAAAAGTTGTTGAAAATCAGTCAATAACTGTTGGCAAGTATTAGTTAGAATTAAGAGTTAATTAATTCTTTTTTATTAATAGGTAATTCAAGCAACATTTACATGTGAATATGCAGCAGCAATTTATGCAAAACAGAACAAATGTTTTGGAATTTTGGCGCAAGACTCAGATTTTGTAATATTCAACAGTGCCGATTACTACTTTTCTATGAAGCACCTCGATTTGGATACGTTGTCAACTGTGACCTACAATACTGAAGGATTAGNAATACAGACAAGTGAAGGACAACAAATCTTTTGATGACCTCTGCGAATTCAGGGTATTATATTTACAGTAAAACATTACTTTTCTAACATTTAACTGAAAAATTTCTTTTTCAGCAAAAGGAGATCAGATCCGGTAAGAAAATAATGTCAATGATATTAAACAACAATTCTTGAACAGGTTTGATGGAGTCCTTTCAACCTGTATATTATATATTTTAAAATGTATCCTTTTGTTAAAACCAAACTTATTTTAAACAAATGTATTCTTACGTATTAATGTATTATAAATTTGTGTGTATTATTATGATTCTTTTTTCAATAAATACATTAATCTGTTGTTAGTTATTAAGTTCATATAAAATAAATTGCCTCATCTGCATCGTTCTGGCTTTATTTCGTTTTTCACCTCTCCTCCGTTTATCTTACCTCACTCAACACACATCAAAACTTCTCCAATCAGGACAATCAGTTACATTAAGAAAATTTTAGATTTTTTTTTTAGTAAGGTCTATCTCAGATTAGATATACTATTATATAACACATAAAATAAGGTGATTAATTCATTAATTCATAAAAGTTCTATTGAAGTTCAATACTTCTTTTTGGTTTTGATATACGTCAGATTGGCAAATAAATTATTTATCAATACTAAGACAATATTTTTTCTTTTTTACGAGAGTTCGCAACAGCAGAGGTCATATCAACCCTCAGGGTGCCGGTGTTTTTGAAAAAAAGCCCATTTGTAAATATGTTGGGTTCGAATGGCAGGGCCGCTGGATTCGAACCCAGGACCTTACAGTGATGAGCGCCATGTCAACACCTAAACTGTTGCGGCCACTGACACCCCCCCCCCTTATGGCAATATTGTTTGGTAAATGTATATAAAGTAGCAACTCAGCTTAATAATGTAAAAATTGACTTAACTATAAAATTATATTATTACTAGCAACGTATTTACCCGAAAGTCATGGGTTCAAATTCTGCCTGTGACACAAATTTTCCATTCAACAAAATTTCTGTCACAGGCAGGATTTGAACCCATGACTTTCGGCTAAATACGCTGCTGCTCTACCAATTGAGCTACCTTGATTTTTCATTTTGAAAAAATTCTGTATAATTAATTGAGTAATTACATAATTAAGCATAAGCTGATAAAAATAATTAAAAAGTCAGTATTAATCTAGAATGACACCCTGTGAATCGTACACAGTCCTGCTAATGTAGTACAATCGTTAATAAAGAGTGTTTTTATATGAAGCCGCGATTCGCTTACAATTGGAATAAAATGATCGAAATTGGAAGTTTGTGGCATGGGTAAAAGAAATCAAGGTAGCATATTTAGCCGAAAGTTGTGGGTTCGAAAAATTTTTCATTTGGTCTAAAATTCTAATTAATTGAGTAACTAACCCTTCTGTGGCATAGAAATCCACACTATTAACGAATATCTCAGACAGAAGGACAAAAAGAAAATGAAGGAATAATGGAATTCACTCATTGGACATAGACAATCCAAGAATCTTCTAACCAATTTTGGTAAGAAAAAAAATCACAGAATGTATCAAAGGAAGCAGGAACAGACTGCGAATCCTAACATGATTCCTAACAGGACACTGCAGATTAAACAGACACTTAAAGAACACAGGCAGAAGAGACACCAACAAATTTACTAACAAACTGTGGAGCTACACTAGCCCGCAGGAGGATATGTATAATGTGACCATAGAAGAGCTTCAACCACTGAAACCGGGCCTATTAATCAAATTTCTTGTTGAAATAGGACTCACCGATGTGCTTTAGGCAGAGAACAGGGAATACAATAGCTCTTAAACGGCGCAGTATACCATACCCTGAAAAAATTACAACTACATCTACATCTAATTGAGTAATTATATAATTAAGAATACGTTGATAAAAGGATTGTTTCTCTTATTTATTAATGATATCCATCTTGCTCTTCCTTCTGCTCAATTTTTATTATGTGCTGATGATCTGAAAATCTATTCCATAATCACTTCTCCTTCCGATTGCTTACAATTATAAAATTCTATCAATAATGTGCTAACCTGGTGCTCTAATAACAAACTTGCTCTTAATGTTTCCAAATGCTACACAATTACATTCTCTCATAAGAAACAACCTTTTATATATCTCTATACTCTCCGCGAGTTAACGCGAGTTGAGGTCGTAAAGGATGTTGGTGTACTTTTTGATCAAAAGCTCAAGTTTAAAGAACATATTTCTTCAATAAAAAATAGATCTATGAAGATGCTAAGTTTCATCATCCGAAACAACTAAAAATTTAAAAATCCTCTGTTTTGTCTATCTTTATAAAGCTTTTGTACAACCCATACTAGAATATGCTACACCTGTTTGGAACCCATTCTATCTAAATTATCAAAAAATTCTTCAATCTGTACAAAACAAATTTTTAAAAAAACTTTCCTACAAACTCAATCTTCCTCCGAATTCTGCCTACCCTGGAATCCGCTCTGAATTTAAACTTTTCGAACTGGCACTAAGAAGGGATTACTTTGATATTGTTTTTGTATTTAAATTATTAAACAATCTCATTGATAGTCCTTATCTCCTCTCTCAACTACAGCTACATGTCCCTTCGTACTCTCTTAAAACCTATAAATTATTTTATATTGAATTCCAAAGCTCTAACTACATGCTCTCTTCTCCTCTACACAGAATGATGATCAAGAGTAACAACATCTGCAATAGCATTGACTTCTTCAATAGTTCTGTGCAATCTGTGAAAAACCTTATCCTACAACCTTAGTTGAATGCTTTTATATTTCATACTGTACAAAATTATTACAATTTATTTCATTTACTGGTTCAACTAATTCTCGCACTCTAGTCTTATTATATATTTACAAAGAGCATTATTTTCATTAAATATGTACCTAATTATTGTAGTTTCAATTGTCTTTCAGCTTTATTTTGTTTTCTCTGCCTTATTTGGTTAGTAATTATGTCTTTCATTTTTGTTGTTCAGTTGTTACTCTTTAATTGTATTTTCATATTTATCATTTATATTTACCATTTATATTATTACCATGTATATACGTCCTTATTCTTTTTATATATATTATTTGTATTTTATTATTATTTATAATATATTATTTATATTTTTTGTTATTGTAATATGTCTTTTTTATAGTGGATTTCGATCCGTAAATAAATAAATAAAAATAAATTTAAAAAAAATAATAAAATTATATCAGTAAGAAGTATTAATCTGTCAAAATGAAGTCATTTATTTACTATTATTCTTTACTTTTTTGCCTTTCTCACTTATTTTAGGGTTTTCTCAGTTTAATTTTTTCATAGTTTGACTTAGGAGAATCAAATCGATTTATGATATTGGTGTTGCACTTAATTCTTTCTTTTTTTCTAGTACAGAATTGATTTTTTGAGTATAAATTGTGTAACACAAATGGCAAATGACAAATTGCAAAATAACCACTCTGGGGGGAAAAGTTCTGAGGAAGACAGACGCATGAATTATTTGAGCCATTGATCACCAATAAAGTTTGTCTAAGAAAAGTTCCTCTATGTAATTTAACAACTGACTTCACCTTGAAGCCTAATTTAATAAAAAAATTTCTTATTAAAATAATTCTAGTTTGTGATCTTGATTCAGCCTACGTTAAATGTGCTCAAGACAAAATTGAGTACAAAAATGTCAACTTTTTGATAGAAGTGTTGAATATTTGATTTGTTTAAGATTCTTTTTATGGGATATCTATTTTCAGATGTGCAAGGGCTTCATAAAGCAATTACGTCGAGATAAACTCTTTTCAAGCGCAAGTTGAAAAATAAACTGGGAATCAGACTGACATACTTTTTTAAATTTTTTATTTGATTCCCTTAAGTCAGATAGGAAATGTTTATTTATTATTAATATATTTTCTTTACTAATTGAGAATTTGGATAATTTATTTATGCATGTAAAAGTTTGTACCAAATTTAATAAAACTGACTTCCTTTTACGCCGCAAACTTTTTTAAACATTGATTTTCTAAATGGAGACATGTCGAAGTTCTTTCCATATCATAGATTATGCATATGAATTCAATACACATGAAACCGTTTCATCGATAATTTGTGACAGGGTGAATATGCTAGAAGTTAGTTGAAGCTAGTGGACAAAATGGTTTCGGAAGGGATAGTCAAGGCGAAATATTGTTATTATTCCGCTTTGGGAATAACTGGCTTGGCCAGCTATCTAGACGGCAACAAGCCCAAACTTACAACAAGAATTTGGACATGCTTTTTCATCTATGTGATCCTTCCTTCTGTCACGACGGCGCATTTCTATACGTCACTATTCTCGGAAACGTCCTACGCCCAGAAGTTCCTCGCTATGAGCCTCGGGCTCGACCAATTTCAGATCATGACCAAAAGCATTTTTTTCCATAATTACATGTCAAAAATGTCAGGACTCGTACTCGATTTCAGTTCGTTCGCATGCGTGGGGCACGATTGGGAAAGGACCGGAACAATACTCGGAAAACGCACCGATGAAATATTAAGACTGCAAAAGTTTTACAACATGGTTCTCTTGGTCTGCTTCTGCTCTTGGTCCCTCGTTCCTATAATTTCCTCCCCCTCGGCACTCTTTTTGAGCCGAAATTTAGAAGAAATGAGCAAAGTTTTGCCGATAGTTTACCCTTTCGACGTCAACAGCTTCCCATGGGTGCAGATCATCTACGTCTACGAGGTGGTCAGCACAATGGGCATATTGATCCATTTCGCAGGAAGCAATCTGTTCTTCGTCTGCTGCGTAATCACTCTTTGCGGAATGTTGGAGCTTTTAAAAATGTCTTTTGAAACATCCAACAACTACGAAGATTTCAAACAATTCATCAAAGACCACCAGAGACTTCTATGGTAACCCCTTTCTGAAATACAGAACTGGGATAAATTTTCATAAAAAAATAAATTTTCATCTTCAAACTCGAGGCAAAATTTACGCCAAATTGATTCACTCGTGAATAAATATTTCTGGGTCTGTCATTTTAAAATTTATCTTTTTAACAATTAAATTTATTATTATGATCATGAAATTTGCCATCTAAATCTACAGCTTGTAATCTCAGTCGGTTTGGGAATGAACAATTTGATAATTTGTCTCTTTTTGAGGTTTATTAACAAAACATTTTGTTATTTCCAATTCTGGTCAGTATACCCTACTGTTTTACTTCAGAATAGGATAATTTGCTATGACCGAACTCAAATAGTGAATAGAAGAACCCAGAGACAAACTGAGCTAATAAATAACGACAAATCAAAAAAAGAAACAATTATAAAAGCTGTTATGTACTTTTATATAAATACTTGATTAATTCAGTTTTAATTGATTGATTAATTTTTGTGGGATTTCTAATTTTTAGACAAAAAGCCATCAAATGAAAATTAATTAAATAAACATCTACTTCACTTTTAAATTATTCTAATTTAATTAGGTGAGAAGAATAAAATTTTGAATAAATGTTTTTTTTCAGCATGTGCAAAGAAATCAAACATATTCTATCTCCGATCCTGGCTCTCCAACTTCTAATCAGCGCTCTTACCATTTGTTTCGCCATTTATGAAATCACAATGGTACAACTTTTACTTTATCATTATTTTTTTCTTAAACGATCAATTTTTTTTTAATGCTAAATTCCAAGGTTAATGAAACGAGCAAAAGTGGTATGGACCAGGTGATACTTTATTCACGGAAAACCACCTACACTATGGTCATATTCATCGAGCTGTTGTTCTACTGCTGGCTAAGCACAGAACTTCAACAAGCTGTAAGTCAATATAAATGACCTGCAATTAAATATGATTTAACGGATAAATAATGAGTATCAAAAAGCTAGTAGTATTTTCAAAATAATAATAAGCACACTTATTTTATTAAATTTCCTCAATTTTACTGCTTTACCATCACAGATTGGTCGATAAAATTTTTGAGCGAAATATAAGCTGATGTAAAACATAAAAACTTTTGTTTTTTTAAGACTCTGACCATAAGGGATGGAGTTTACAACAGTTCCTGGTACTTGGATAAACAGCCCAAATACAAAGATATCGTTATAATAAATGCCAGATCGCTCCGTCCTGTCAGTCTTACAGCTTTGATGATGAACAATTTACACCTCGGGACATCAATTGAGGTCTAATTAATTACAGTATTTTTAGTAGTTTCCTACTGACTGTTTTTTTTTTAGGTGCTGCGCGCCGCTTACTCTTATTACACAATGCTTAAACAAATGAACCGCTGAGTAAACTTAGTTATTCGGGTAAAACACCGATTATTGTTGATTCAAATATAACTTGTATTTTATTTTATTTCCTTATAATTGACATCAATGCACTTAGTACAATTGGTTGGCGACACAATAAAGCACTAAAATTTTATTTGTTTATTTTTTTTATTAGACCTAGCCTCAAAATTTGAGACCCAAAAGGGGACAAAGTAAAACTAAATGATTCAATGATTTTTTACGAGGGTTCGCAACAGCATAGGTTATATCAACCCTCGGGGTGCCGGTGTTTTTGAAAAAAAGCCCATTTGTATGTCGGGTTCGAATGCAGGGCTGCTGGATTCGAACCAGGGACCTTTACCTTACAGTGATGAGCGCCGTGTCAACGCCTAAACCATTACGGTCACCGATGCCCCCCTCTATGTGCTTATTGCTAAGCAATAAGAGAACATTCAGTTTATATGCTTAACTACTTTTTGTATGAGGAGAAAGTAAGGTTCAAAAATATCAAATAGATGGTATCAGAAACATTTCTAAAATTTCGCCTTCAGATTGTACCAACCAACAGTCAAACAAGGAAACTCAGCCACATAACTCTGGGTATGAGCTTATTTACAAGAGGACTTATCACAAATAATGCTTGCCAATATTAGCTTCCATATTCTTCAGTGTCTTCCAGGATTTTCTTCCTGCAGCTTTCTGGATCCTAGACAGTCATCTCTACTTGACTTATTGCAATGGCTAGGTCCATGGCGGTCCTTGCTGGCTGGTCCTCTCGCTGAATGTGTACTAAGGGTCAGGGCTCTTGACTGAGTTCTACTGCTGAAGCCCCAGCTGAGTGTGACTGCATCCTCGGATTGACTGAGTCCCTGGCTGTGTGGTTGCTTGGCTGCTCTTGACTGTGTCTTCTTGCTGAGTCTCAGACTAGGGGTGGTCGCTTGATTGAGTTCTACTGCTGAAGCCCCAAGTGAGTGTGACTGTAGCCTTGGGTTGACTGAGTCCCTGACTGAGTACGTTGCTTGGTTGCTCTTGACTGTGTTCTCTCGCTGAGTCCCAGACTGAGGGTGGCTGCTTTACTACTTTTGACTGAGTCCTCAGACTGACAGTTCTTTTGCTGAGGCCCCGATTAAGTGTTGCTGCATTCTTCGGTTAACTGAGTCTTCTTGCTGAGTGTGGTTGCTTGACTGCATTCCTCAGATTGACTGTTTTCTCTTGCTGAGCCAGATTGATCGTTGCTGCTTGACTGCATCCTTTTGCTCAGTCCTTGATCAACTGACTTTTCTTTTCACATATCCCTTTTTATATCAATTTCCCAACCAGGGTAGGGGAATAAAGGAAAAGCAAAGACTGCAGGGCCAGATAGATTCCCTTTGTGGGTGGCCGCACAACAGCATATAACTCAAACGAATTTCCATTATGCAGCCCATTGATCCCATATCAACGATGTCCAGCAAAAAGAGTGCAATGCCTACATATGGTGACCCCAAATTTATGGTGTCCCACATATTAATGAACTGTGTCTGCAACCTTTCTGAACAAAATAACTCCTTGATTTCGTTATTTAGATTACTCGTCTGTCACGTTTCTATGACTTCCATGGTTGTGGTCCACTCTCTTTGCTACCTACAGGGTGGGCGACCCTTCAAGCAGCCTTATTTCAACCCTACATTTGAAATTCCTGCCTACTATTTTTAACTTATGCTAAGATATGGACAAGAGTAAAACACCTTGTGAAATTTTTTTCTTGAGATCTGCGGCTTTAGACTTTTAGTTAGCCAAAGTACTAAACTTAATACGGAAATTTTTAAAGGAAAATTCTTGACATTAGAATTATTCAATTAATTAAGGTTTTAAGTTGAGATAAAAAAGTCAGTGTCACGAGCGGGATTCGAACCCACGACCTTCGACTTGATACGCCGCTACTCTACCATTTGAACTATCGTGACTTCGATCCACTCGGACAACTTCCTATCTCAACCCCACCTTATGAGTTTTCCCTCCTTTTTGCCATTTTTCAAATGTCGTGTAATCGGATTGGATTCTCGGCGACAAATGAAATGGCCACGGAAAGCTTTAGTGAAGTGTACTTCAAAAATGGCAAATAGGAGGGAAAATTCAAAAGTTGGGGTTGAGATGGGAAGTTAGTGCCCGAGGGGATCGAAGTCACGATCTCTCAAGTGGTCGAGTAGTGGCGCATCAAGCCGAAGGTCGTGGGTTCGAATCCCTCTCGTGACACAGACTTTTTTATCTCAACTTAAAACCTTAATTAATTGAATGTTATTAATTGGTAAAGTGGACCACGAAAAATAGTGATTCTATTAGAATTATTCTTATACAATTACCACAATAAATTCGACATGCTGTTTGGGTTAGATAGCATGAAAATATTAAATATTAAATTAGATTTTACTAAAGATGTAATAGCAGTAGCGAATAAAAGTTATCTTGTACCGTACTACGAAACTGACAAAGAAAGACGAGCAGAGGAAGATTTAACATCTGTGACTCGTCAAAGATAAAGTGAACAGGTGCTTCACATCAGAGGCGCGCTCGGAAAGTATTATTAAAATAAAATTTGATAATATTAGTCACGGCGAGGCCATTCTATCTAGTCAATCTTTACTGGGAACAAATATTCCAATTGCATGATTAAGGTGAAAGATCGTGAAGCGTTGTGCCCTATCGTCAACGAAAATCATGAACGAGTTGTAGAAATAAAAAGACCATTCTATCTAGCCGAAGATCGTGGGTTCGAATCCCGCTCGTGCCATTGACTTTTTTATTTCAACAAAAAACCTTAATTAATTGTAATTAGTTATACTCAACAACATCACAGATAACACATATAATGTAAATGATTCATTTCATTAATAAAATTAATAATATCCACATCCCCTCACACTACTCTCTCATATCCCTAAATGTTTCATCATTATTTACCAACATTCCAATAGACACAACACTGAACATTATGAAAGATAAATGGTCCAACATAAACCACACACAACTCTATCAAAGAACACGTTCGTAACAATGATCCGACACTGCCGGGTTAACGGATATTTTACATACGACAATCACTTTTACAAACAAATTTTTGGTACGGCCATGGGTAGCAACTTAGGCCCGATACTGGCAGACATAATCATGACACATCTACTAAATACAGTCATACAACAACTTCCTTTCACATTACCCTTCCTCACTAAATACGTAGATGATATATTGACAGCAATTCCCACAGATCAAATTCAAACTACATTAGATACATTTAATAGCTTTCACCCACGCCTTCAATTTACATATGAAATCAAAAACAACAAAAAAAATACCATTTTTAGATACACTTGTAATAAAACAACCAGATGGCACATTAATCACAGATTGGTATCAAAAACCAAGAAACACAGATTGCTACCTCAACTTTAAATCTCACCATCCTCTTCATACAATAATAAACACGGCCAAAGGGTTACTTCACAGAATGATTACCCTAAGTCATGAATCATTTCACCACAAGAACATAAAGATATACAAACAGATCCTCCATAACAATCTCTACCCTAAACACATAATTAACAGAATAATCAACAACTACAACTCAACACTAACACCATCCACTATTACTAATAATACTACATTAAGTATATCAAATACAAACAAACAAGCATACATTTCCATACCATTTATTCAAGGCCTATCACATAAACTAAACACATTTCTCTCGTCCGATAACTTCAAAATAGCTTTTAAAAAATATAAAACTATCCAAACACTTTTTTCCAAAGTTAAAGATCCCACACCAGTAACAAATAAATCTGGCGTAATCTACAAGATCAACTGTTTAAACTTTAAAACAAAAAGCCCTTGTCCACCCTGTCAATAAAACCCCCAACCCATCCTCCCCTACAGACTACCGTCCCATTTCCATCCTCTCAAACCTGTCCAAGCCCCTAGAAAGATTAGTCCAAGCACAAGTCTCCAAGCACCTTGAACAGTCCCATCTTCTCAACCCCCTCCAATCTGGCTTCCGCCAAGGATATTCCACCCAATCAGCACTAATAAAAATTACCAGTGATCTCCACTTAGCAATGGACCAACGGAAAGTTACTATACTTGTCCTTCTTGATTTTTCTAAAGCCTTCGATAATGTCCCTCACTCTTCTCTCCTGTCTAAACTCGAATCTTTTTCCTTCTCCGCCAGCACCATTCGTTGGTTCCACTCCTACCTTACCAATCGCCACCAAGCTGTTTCCCTTCCCAATGGCCTTACCTCCTCCTTCCTCCCTCTAAAATCTGGGGTGCCCCAAGGCTCTAGCATCTCTCCTACCCTTTTTTCCATTTATATCAATGATCTGCCCGACTCCATCCAGTCCTGTATCTATCACCTATATGCCGATGACTCCCAAATATACATATCCTTTCACCCTTCCGATCTTCTCTCGGCCATTCTCAAGATCCAAAAAGACCTAAAATCCATCAACGAATGGGCCCATAAAAATTCCCTAGTCCTCAACCCGTCCAAATCCACCGCCATAATTATCGGGTCCAGGCAACTCCTCAATTCCCTCCCCAGCATCCCACCTCTCATGCTAAATAACCATCCCATTCCCTTCTGCTCTTCGGTTAAAAACCTAGGAGTAGTCTTTGACCAAAACCTTTCCTGGCATTCCCAAATTTCCCGCCATTCCATCGCCTCCCTCAGCCTGGTTCGTCGGTCCTGGCTTCTCTTACCTTTCTCCATCCGCAAACTCCTTGTATCTTCCCTTATACTTCCCTTCTTCGATTATAGCTGTTTGGCATACGGTGGTCTCTCGGAGAGGGAGAACGCGCGATTGAAGCGTATTTTGAATTGTTGCGTAAGATTTGTGTACGGCACCCCACGGGGATCCCGGGTGTCGGGGTTGTATTTCCAACTTTCCTGGCTATTCCCCTCCTTCCGTGCACAGTATTTCCTAGGTTGCTTTCTTTTCCAGTCCATCCACACTCGTCGTCCTCCTTACATCATCCAATCCCTCCAATTCAACTCCTCAAATCACACTCGTAAGACCCGCTCATCCCCAATCGACCTTGTTCTTCCGCAACATACAACCCATACCTTCGAAAGATCCTTTCTGATCCGACCCCCTAAACTCTGGAACTCCCATCCCATTTCTATTCGTCACGCTGCCTCCTTTTCCTCCTTTAAATCCCATCTTTATAATCACCTCCTCTCCCTCCAACCAGAGACCTCACGATAACATTTATTATTTTTGTTTAATATTCTCGTAATTTTCTCTTCTGGCCTGCCTTACTGGCATACATTGTGCAAAGATTTCTAACTTTTTTTTTAAATTTGTAACTTCATAGAAGGTACTTCCTTGATTTTATCTCATGTAAATTATTCTAAGGGGACACCAGTCCCAGAATAAAGTTATTTTTCTTCTTCTTCTTACATATATCATTACATTACATTCCACACATCAAATACTTTTCACATAGTCTAATTTTCCAACAATTTAGCTTTCCTTTTCCTATTTATCCCCTTCCTATATAATCCTGAAAGGATAATCTGGCCGAACTATTACCGACACATTGTTTCCCTTTGTCGGCTCTTTTCACTTCAAAGAAGCCGAACCTTACACAAAATTGTCTTTTATATACCGACTTCCTTCCCCACCCTTTCAAAACCCAACATATATAAACATAAAACAGCAAAATCTCACTGGCACTCTCAACACGACACGCAAGGAAGACAAATACTTTGATTGAATACAAAATATACATTGCATTGTATAAATTCACTTTTCCACATCCTAAATGTATTTGTTAAATGTAAACATTGTTTGTAAATCCCAGGCCTTGAAGATGATCTCAATAAAGATCGCAATATTGGCACGATAAAGAAAGTGTTTTTCTGAAACCTACATCACACCAGACCGCATCTCACGATATCTGAATAATTATTAGTTATAGCGTCACTTGTACAGAAAAATGCACTCGGCTTATCAGATGTCCATTAAGAACAGTTGCATTTTTCTCCCCCTTAACCCGAGATGACCTAATGATTGACCGAGGGTAAATAGATTAGATTCTGTGTACACTTCCTCGAATGTATATCGGCAGAGCTACTACTTTTTAAATAAACATAAAAAAAAAATTAAGGTATCGAATTATTATCCATAATTAATATAAACTGTAGCATGCACGGTTTATTTACTTATTTATTTTTTAGTTTTTACGTTTGGCACACACATTTCAACTTCCTGTTGGCATCAATCCTCTGACTCAGAGGAACTCTTTTGCGCGTTACCAGCTTTTTTTAAACAAAAAAATATTTTTTCTCATATTATACTTACTTTACTTTTTTTTCATCTATAAAGGTTTATTAATTTTTACTTTAATTAATGTGAAATGAATGATAAAATAATAAAATAATAAAAAATAAAATGATAAATGAAAGATAAGTGTGCTTTATCAGCAAATATTCAAATACTGGAAGTATGATTCATAGTATGACACACTATCACATTTGCTTCTGTTTGATTTTAGTTGTGGTTTCTTAGTCATATATATTCGATTGAACATTTTTTCTCCTTCAATTTTGCAGAAACGATCACTTCAAATTGTAATTATGGGCATCCAAAGCCTTGAAACGTTCCTTCACAACCACCCAGAATGCTATACTCCGGTGAATATGGGCGAGCTTGCCGTTGAGTACAAGTAAGCATTTAGTCAAGTTGTAAAGATTTCCTCCTGTTGTCTGATAAAGGTTTACAGTTCAGTTTTATTAATGTAATTTTTATTAAATATTAACATATTTATTTATCAATATAAACATTCATGAATATATTATATTTATTAATTATTTATATAGCCATTTATTAGTATAGTGTATAGCTAATTATCAGTGGACAAGCGATGTTAATCTGGGCTAGTGACCAGAGAAGAACATCTATAAATAAATCACATTGATACTGGAGAGTATTTGATTTTTGAGAAAAATTGTATTTAATGAGAGAAAAACACTTACAAAAATGTAAATTTGTACAATAATAATAATAAGTGTTTTATTAGTAAAAAACAATGTTTACAACGTCAAAGTTGCATTTTGTCTGTTCTAATAAGTTCGTTTTATTTATATATTTTTTAATTTTATTTACACATTTTACATCATACTTATAGCAAATTTAAAAACTTTGTGCTAATCCGTCAGTTAATTTCATTTTAAAAGTTAATACATTTTCGTTTTTTAGAAGGAAAAATAAAAGAAATCCTGTGCTAATATGGCATATAGGTTCGTGTTATACATGGTTGTATAACAACAAATGTTGGGTGCTCGGTGGGCAGCTGAAAGAGTTCGCCCATGTTCTCGAGTCATTCATCCAAAAAGTCAAGGCTGCGGGTATCGAGCTTATAGTTTTCAACGGTGGCCACATCCAAACAGAAAAGCTGAAAAAAAATATTTCACTCCAGAAAGAAAGAGTGTCATATCTAAATGAAGTCTTTAACTTTCTATGGGGAAACCAGCAAAATGACCAGGTTCTAACGAAATATTTCAGACTTCTCCCTTCCAACATTAATGAAGTCATAGTAGACACCCTCAGCAAATTAGAGTGCAAGGTGGGCCTTCCTTGATATATATTTGATGAATTTTACATATATAGCAGTTTTCAGTCAAATGAAACTTTTTTTTCAATCAAATGAAACATTTTTTTTAATCATATGAAACCATTTTTCAAGCATATGAAACCTAAAAAGTAATGATAATTATTATGTAGAGGAATAAATATAGCATTTTTCAGTCAAATGAAACCTTTTTTTAAGAGAATGAAACCTTTTTTCAAGCAAATGAAACCTTTTTCCAAGCAAATGAAACATTTTTTTTAAGAGAATGAAACCTTTTTTCAAACAAATGAAACCTTTTTCCAAGCAAATGAAACCTTTTTTTTAAGCAAATGAAACCTTTTTTCAAGCAAATGAAACCTTTTTTCAAGCAAATGAAACCTTTTTCCAAGCAAATGAAACCTTTTTTCAAGCAAATGAAACTTACGAGCGGTTTCCCCGAGCGCGGTTCGCGGCTCGTTCGGGTACCGTCGCTCTCTAGGGCGTTCCGAGGGGGTAGCGAGCTACTCCACTCTAAGCCCGTCAAGCCTTTTTGGGGTAAGAACTAAGATGTGTCAGGTTGCCCGGGCTCGACGGGTGAACACCCTTTTCTTATTTGCTGCTAGTTCAGGCCAAGGAGGTTTGGGGGAAAAGACACAAGAATTCGGACCAAACAATCAAGTCCCTTTAATGTTGTGACTAAACAATTCCAATATGTACAAACAACTAGTGTATAATTCAGAGACAACCCTATTACTGGACAATTATTTCTAGATACTTATAACTAGGGTTCTTATTCTCTATAATTAACTCTTACTACTAGGGGGCTTAATTATTGGGATAGCCGTACTAAAAGTAGCCGAAACCGCCCTACTGTTCTCCGAATCTCCCGCCAAACAATTGACAAAAGTTTGTACTCACAGGATCCTGACGGATAGTCGGCGCGGATTCTACGAACTATGTTGCTTCGACGTTTCTCTCGACGTTCCTCCAGGCGTCTCTCTCGACGTTCCTCCAGGCGTCTCTCTCCACGCTACTCTGGGCATCTCTCTCGACGTTCCTCCAGGCGTCTCTCTCCACGCTACTCTGGGCGTCTCTCTCGACGTTCCTCCCGGCGTCTAGTCCTACGGTCCGCCGGGGCCGCCCCGACCGTGACAGCACTCCGCTTACCGCCTCTCTCTTCAATTCCTGGCCGTCTCCATGGAATTCTCTCAACTGGACTCGGACTACGGTCTACCCCGAACTCTACTCGGACTCGACCCGGATTCTCGCTGATTCTACTCTCTACTTCTCTCTGATTCTACTCTCTACTGATTGTCCCTCTTTTATCAATCCGTTCAGGGAGGAGGTGGGGAACAGTTGTATTTCGAAAACACTGCTATGCTTCCGGGTGACCCGATTGCCCTTGTCCTCTCAGTTCATTGAGCTATTCTGGATGAGTCCGGGCATTAGCTAACCCTGAGGGTTGAGCAATAAGGCACACTCGTCAGCACGACAGCCAATTTTTCTAGGGCGATTGCCCCGGGATCGGCCCACATTTCTTAATCGAAACATCCAGCTGTTATTATTGGGCCAGCTTTGTTTAGCTGCGTCTGGAATTTTCGAGAAAGACGGGGTCGGTTCCCGCGATTCTAGGCCACTTCCGGCTACTCAATACGCTTTCCCAATAATTAGCTAACATATTTCTTACGTATAACCTTATATTTACAATATACTTAATTTCTACAAAACTCTGTTTAAGATTCCTAACATGGAATCTTCACAGAAACCTTTTTCCAAGCAAATGAAACCTTTTTCCAAGCAAATGAAACCTAAAACCTNTGAAGTTTTTTCTTCTTTTATAATTTTTAATGTGACTTATAGATGAACAAGTTTGACATTTCAACTTGGGAACTTGAAGCTGCAGTAGCGACGATGTTACTCCTCCAGTACTATTCGGTAAGAGATTTGGAAGCGATCCCCGAATTTCCGATGGACCCACATGGCATCCACCTGTATTGGGCTTTCATCAGGGTTTTCGTCGCAATAGCGGAACTCAACAGTGTCTGCGGCCATCCGTTGGACTCTGAATTGGTAAACAACACACATAGTTTAAAATTTGGTAAACATTGTCCTGACATTGTCCCATGTATAAGGCAAATCCTATACATTACCAAGATGGAAAGCTGTTCCTTCACAAATACAGACAAGCGAAGGACAACAAATCTTTTGATAACCTCTGCGAATTCAGGGTATTATATCTACAGTAAAACATTACTTTTCTAACATTTAACTGGAAATTTTCTTTTTCAGCAAAAGGAGATCAGATCCGGTAAGAAAATAATGTCAATGATATTACCCAACAAAAATTGAATATGCGAAGGAATTTTTATTGACCTGTCCATTATATATATTTTAAAATGTATCCATTTGTTTCGAATTGTTGTTTTAGAAAAATAAATTCTTTAACAGGTTTGATGGAGTCCTTTCAACCTGTATATTATATATTTTAAAATGTATCCTTTGTTAAAACCAAACTTATTTTAAACAAATGTATTCTTACGTATTAATGTATTATAAATTTGTGTGTATTATTATGATTCTTTCTTCAATAAATACATTAATCTCTTGTTAGCTGTTAAGTTCATATAAAATAAATTGCCTCATCTGCATCGTTCTGGCTTTATTTAGTTTTTCACCTGTCTTCTGTTTATCTTACCTCACTCAACACACATCAAAACTTCTCCAATCAGGACAATCAGTTACATAAATAAGACAAATTTTAGTTTTTTTTTTAGTAAGGCCTATCTCAGATTAGACATACTATTATATAAAACATAAAATAAGGTGATTAATTCATTAATTCATAAAAGTTCTATTGAAGTTCAATACTTCTTTTTGGTTTTGATATACAACAAATTGACAAATAAATTATTAATCAATACTATGACAATATTTTTTCTTTTTTATGAGGGTTCGCAACAGCAGAGGTCATATCAACCCTCAGGATGCCGGTGTTTTTGAAAAAAAGCCCATTTGTAAATATGTTGGGTTCGAATGGCAGGGCCGCTGGATTCGAAGCTGGGACCTTTACCTTACGGTGATGATCGCCGTGTCAATGCCTAAACCGTTGCGGTCACTGATGCTCCCTCTATGTGCTTATTGCTAAGCAATAAGAGAACATTCAGTTTACATGCTTAATTACTTTTTGTTAGAGGAGAAGGTAAGGTTCAAAAATATTAAGTAGATGGTATTAGAAACATTTCTAAAATGTCGCCTTCAGATTGTACCAACCAACAAACAAACAAGGCAACTCAGCCACATCTCTAACTCTGGGTATGAGCTTATTTACAAGAGGACGTAGCACGAATAATGCTTGCCAATATTAGCTTCCATATTCTTCAGTGTCTTCCAGGATCTTCTTCCTGCAGCTTTCTGGATCCTAGACAGTCAGCTCTACTTGACTTGTTGCAATAGCTAGGTCCATGGCGGTCCTTGCTGGCTGGTCCTCTCGCTGAATGTGTACTGAGGGTGAGGGCTCTTGACTGAGTTCTACTGCTGAAGCCCCATCTAAGTGTGACTGCATCCTCAGGTTGACTGAGTTCCTGGCTGTGTGGTTGCTTGGCTGCTCTTGACTGTGTCTTCTTGCTGAATCTCAGACTGAGGGTGGCTGCTTAACTGCTCTTGATCGAGTTCTCCCACTGTGGCCCTGACTGAATGTAGCTGCATCCTTGTGATGATTGATTCTTCTTGCTTAGCCCCCAACAGAGTGGTTGCTTGGCTGCTCTTGACTGTGTCTTCTCGCTGAGTCTCAGACTGAGGGTGGCTGCTTGAGTGCTCTTGACCGAGTTCTCCCACTGTGGCCCTGACTGAGTGTAGCTGTATCCTCGCGATGATTGATTCTTCTTGCTTAGCCCCCAACAGAGTGGTTGCTTGTCTACTCTTGACTGTGTCTTCTCGCTGAGTCTCAGACTGAGGGTGGCTGCTTGACTGCTCTTAACTGAGTTCTCTTGCTGTGGCCCTGCTGAGTGTGACTGCTCTTGACCAAGTTCTCCCACGTAGCCTGACTGAGGGCAGCTGATTGACTGCTTTTGAATGAGTCCTCAGGTTGACTGTTCTTCTGCTGTGGCCCTGACTGAGTGTAGCTGCATCCTTGTGATGATTGATTCTTCTTGTTTAGCCCCCAACAGAGTGGTTGCTTGGCTGCTCTTGACTGTGACTTCTCGCTGAGTCTCAGACTGAGGGTGGCTGCTCGACTGCTCTTAACTGAGTTCTCTTGCTGTGGCCCTGCTGAGTGCGACTGCTCGACTGCTCTTGACCGAGTTCTCCCACGTAGCCTGACTGAGGGTGGCTGTTTGACTGCTTTTGAATGAGTCCTCAGGTTAACCGAGTTCTAAAACTGTAGCCCTGACTGAGTGTAGCTGCATCCTCAGGATGATTGAGTCTTCTCGTTGAGCCCCCAACAGAGTGTGGTTGCTTGGCTGCTCTTGACTGTGTCTTCTTGCTGAGTGTCAGACTAAGGGTGGCTGCTTGATTGAGTTCTACTGCTGAAACCCCAACTGAGTGTGACTGTATCCTTGGGTTGACTGAGTGCGTTGCTTAGTTGCTCTTGACTGTGTTCTCTCGCCGAGTCCCAGACTGAGGGTGGCTGCTTTACTACTTTTGACTGAGTCCTCAGACTGACAGTTCTTTTGCTGAGGCCCCGTTTAAGTGTTGCTGCATTCTTCGGTTAACTGAGTCTTCTTGCTGAGTGTGGTTGCTTGACTGCATTCCTCAGATTGACTGTTTTCTCTTACTGAGCCAGATTGATCGTTGCTGCTTGACTGCATCCTTTTGCTCAGTCCTTGATCAACTGACTTTTCTTTTCACATATCCCTTTTTATATCAATTTCCCAACCAGGGTAGGGGAATAAAGGAAAAGCAAAGACTGCAGGGCCAGATAGATTCCCTTTGTGGGTGGCCGCACAACAGCATATAACTCAAACGAATTTCCATTATGCAGCCCATTGATCCCATATCAACGATGTCCAGCAAAAAGAGTGCAATGCCTACATATGGTGACCCCAAATTTATGGTGTCCCACATATTAATGAACTGTGTCCGCAACCTTTCTGCACAAAATTACTCCTTGAATTTGTTATTTAGACTATTCGTCTGTCACGTTTCTATGACTTCCATGTTTGTGGAAACCTCTTTGCTACCTACAGGGTGGGCGACCCTTCAAGCAGTCTTATTTCAACCTACATTTGAAATTCCTGCTTACTATTTTTAACTTACGCTAAGATATGGACAAGAGTAAAACACCTTGTGAAATTTTTTTTCTTGAGATCTGTGGCTTGTAGACTCTTAGTTCAGTCGTTGCTGACCCAGGGTGGGTATTTTTAAGCTGGTGCTACAATGCATCGAACCTTTACTACTTTTATGCCAAATGATTTGGCAATTGATTGAATTAAGTATTTCTGCTACACAGTGTGGTGAATATTTGATCTGATTATTGAGCCTAAATTTACCAGCCAGTCTTGTTCCAATTTGCTAATTGAAAAAATTAAATATATAATATGTAAAAGAAGGTCGTGTATGTGGTGTTATCCCTCCATTTAATGTCAACGTTAGTTTTTTGCAGTTTGGAATCCTCTCAATTCGTTGAATACCGCGTGCCTGTGCTTCCGGCAAAAACGACCTTCCTTTAAACACTGGAGAAGCTGTGAAAAAAAAATTAGGTGTTTGTAGTATCGTGTCGCACCAGCTTTAGACCTGAGCACTTCACGTTATCCACCGAAATATTTTAGTTGTTATGGGAATAAATTTAAAATTAAGTAACAAAATGTTTATTCAATTTAATTTTATAAATACAATTCTAAAACTTTAAAAATATTTTTGTTTACATACATTATACATTATGTAATATACAAATATATCTGTACATTTAGAATATACTTGAACAATATACAGTTAATAAAATGTAATTAAAATGTACATCTCACAGTCGGCTGTTTAAAAATGAAAGGATTTTTTTGCACGTCACGACAGCATTTTTCTGAAATAAATCTTATATTAATAGAAAGTTTAAATTATTAGATATTATTATTTACTTGAATTAATTATTATTTTTATGTAAGGTCTTAGTTGAGATGAAAAAGTTAGAGTCATGAGTGGGATTCGAACCCTCGACCTTCGGCTCAATACGCCGCTGCTCTAACAAAGTCATGATGGTTCAAGTGGTTAGAGCATCGAGCATTGAGCCGAAGGTCGTGGATTCGAATCCCGCTCGTGACACTAACTTTTTTATCTCAATCAAAACCTTATATAAAAATAATAATTAATTGAAATAAGTAATTAGACTACTAAACATAAAAGGTTTATTATTATTATTTACCTTTTTTTCACATAACACTTCAATATCTCTGGTCTCGATTGCTTCTTTGTACTTCTTGTGAAAAAGCTTTCCATCATGGTACCTCACCGGATTGCACTAAATGAATATATATTAATAAGAATATAAAAAAAATTAATGAAAAAGTTTTGAAAGCCAAAGTGAATTAGAAGGAAACTAAACTGTAGATCACAATGAGGTGGCTCAATGTAGAAGATTCAGAACTTATTCTCTTTGGATATTGAAGACAAAAAGTCAGATCCAATTTAGTATTTTTTTTAATTATTCTCAAATTTAAAAAAAAATAATAATATTAATAATAATAATAATTCTCTTCGACTGACAAAATGTTTTCCAGACTCACCATTTCATAGCTCAAAGGGTGCCCGCAGACACTATTCAGAAAGGTCCCAAAGTAAAAACCCTTGGCAACAATCGTATAAAGGTTTATACATCGTATATCGATTGGAAATTCTTGAATTCTATTGATCTGTTTGATCGAGTAGGAATCGAGTAGAACCATTGCAACCACAAGGGCGATCACCTCCCAGTCTTCCAACACCATGCCTCCCTCCGTCTAAAAAAAATGAACCAGCTTGAAAATCCTTCAAGAATGAGTCAATTACTTACAAGAAGGTATTTCAGTACTCCAGTCGGCAGGATTAAATGTTTCTCTTCCAATTCTAAAAGGCTGCTGTTTACATGAAGCGCAGAGCAAAATAGATTGAACTTTTCTTTTGTTGTGTCTTTGTCATTGAGGGTCATAAGCTTGATCAATCCACTGTGAGGCACTAGAATATAGAACCGCATAACAGTTTACACAAGTTGTTCTTTTAACTCTTACCACTCGGCATGATGGCAGGTACAGGGATGTAATCTTCAACACTGGTCAGGCCACAAACGACAAGTTCTTTCACATAATGTACTCCGTTATCGGGCAAAGGTTTCTCCTGAAGCAATATGCCGTAAATCCTCTGTCTTAATTTTTTCAATATCTAAAAAGTGACTTCGTTATTCAAAACCTCCAGACAAAATGAGTCATGATTATAATACTTGTAACGCAGGAGGGAAAAAATTGCGAGTGTAGTCTTCGAGAAGTGAACAGCTCGTGAAAATACCGCGTGTTATCACCATGTAAATACTACTATCAATTTTACTCGTTTTGTGCAATTTCTTGATCAGTTTTTGAATTTCGGTCCAATTTTTGCCATATCTTGTATCTATGTCATCATCTAAAAAAATGACAATATTTTGTTTGAAGCAAAAATACACTCTGTTCTTGTTTGTGTTGTAAATAATCGTTTCTCATGGCGTAGAGGAAGCTTTTTTTTTATTACAGAAAGTAAAATAGGGTTTAAGACAAAAATTAATAAACTGATTTAATCTATTAGGTTTCGTGGTCCAATTTACCAAATAAATTCTTTTCAATTAATCTTTAATTAAGGAAATTAAGTGAAAAATGGCAAAAATGAGGGAATATTCAAAAGGTGGGGTTGAGATGGGAAGTTCGTGTCTGAGTGGATCGAAGTCACGATAGCTCAAGTGGTTGAGCAGCGGCATATTTAGCTGAAGGTCGTGGGTTCGAATCCCGCTCGTGATACTGATTAAGTTTCTCAAACAAAACCTTAATTAAAGATTAATTAATTGAAACTGATTTAATTCGAAAAGTAAAGAAAAAGATCCCTTTTTGCTTTAGTTTGTTGTTTCTGAACATTTTGTACTAATTATACACACTACATGGGTCTGTCATTAGAATTTCAACATCTTTAATGCTGGGTCCAAGTAATTTTCACTTACTCAAATCCATTTTATAAGTTTGTGAAAAATAAGTCTTTTTTTTCCCAGTTTATGTTGCAATTTGTACAGTTCTTTTTAAGTTGTATGATGTAGAACTATTGCTGATTTGTGTATGCATGATTTTTTTTTTAGTTGTACATGTGTTTTTTTTTTCTTTTTTGTATGTCCACAACTCAGGGAAGTAAGAGCCTCTTATTTTGGCAAGAAAAACCTGCTTGGGGAAGAAATTCTCCCATTTCTGGACAGTCTGATGTTCGTCCCTTAATTAAGTTCTGATATGCCTTGAGATGTTTGTCCTGCATCGTTCTTTATATTATTTTCCCCACTTTGCTGTTTATGCATAATAATTATTTTTATTTCAATCTATATAGGATTATTCTGTAACTAGAAGCACCTTTATTTTTTAGTTTTGCCACTTTATAACAGTTTTTAATTTTTTGTGTTTATTTTTATTTATTTATTAATAATAAATTTATTCAATTAATTAAGGTTTTAAGTTGAGATAAAAAAGTCAGTGTCACGAGCGGGATTCAAACCCACGACCTTCGGCTTGATATGCCGCTACTCTACCACTTGAGCTATCGTGACTTCGATCCCCTCGGGCACTAACTTCCCATCTCAACCCCACCTTTTGAATTTTCCCTCCTTTTTGCCATTTTTCAAATGTCGTGTAATCTATTTGATTCTCGGCGACAAATGAAATGGCCACGGAGAGATTTAGTGAAGTGTACTTCATTTTAATTCATTAAATTCACTATTTTTCGTGGTCCGCTTAACCAATTAATAACATTCAATTAATTAAGGTTTTAAATTGAGATAAAAATGAAAAATGGCAAAAAGGAGGGAAAATTCAAAAAGGTGGGGTTGAGGTTGGTGTCCGAGTGGATCGAGGTCACAATAGCTCAAGTGGTAGAGTAGCGGCATATCAAGCCGAAGGTCGTGGGTTTGAATCCCGCTCATGACACTGACTTTTTTATCTCAACTTAAAACCTTAATTAATTGAATGTTATAAACTGGTTAAGCGGACCACAAAAAATAGTGAATTGAACAAATTTATTTTTTAATTGTGGAGGAGTTTTAAGTTTTTCATGAGGTCAGTCGCATAGTTTGATTTTCCGTTGTCTGAATGATCAGAAACGACTAAATTTTGTCTCCCCACCCAGAAATGACACAAAATTAAATACTCTGAACAATTCTGTTCATTCTAAACCCGTACCTTGTCTTATAAGAAGCACGTCATACGAGTTCAGACTCCGTAGGAGCAAATCTGAATAATCCTTGACGCCGAAAACCCTCTCTGCGATGATCGGCAGCATCTGATTTATATCACTCGATTTCGACTTGTAATGACGTATGCAACTGGCGACGTTGAAAAAATTATTTCTGTAGTTGATACTGTTTGACCTCTGCTGCCACAAGTCGCCCATGCTTCTATGAAAAGGCTGGAAAAATGTATTCATTGTACAATACAAATTGTGTGAAATCATCAAATCATTGTTTAAAAATCAATAAAATAAAACTAATCATTTATCTACAAGTAAAATAAGTTCGTTGAATTTTTTATTCTCAATCAACAATGTATGAACCATGTAATTTTGAAATTCTAGCCTCCCTGAACTTCTAGGTTTTTAAGAGATGAGAACTCCTGGATGTGTGTAGTCCTCAAGTTATGTAAAATTTTCCCCATTGATCGAGTTTTACAGAGACTACAATAAGTGAAAATCCTAATGGGCAATGTCAGGTGAACACAATTTTTAGCAGATCCCGGCCTAATTACAACAAGGTGAGGGTGAGATTTATCCTGGTGGAAAAATGATCCACTTGCAATTGGACATTACTGTTTTTGGTCAACTGCTGACTTTATTCAGTATACATAATAATTGATGGTTTGGATAGGCGGAAGAAGCTAATAATAAAGTATTTTCTTTCAATTCCATCAATTGGACAATACCTTTTTTTTTTGGGGGGGGGAGGTTTAAAAGGTGTTGACACGGTGGTTATCACTGTAAAGTAAAAGTCCCGGTTGGGATTAAAACCGGTTTTAAGGCTCGGGGATCAAACCTGCTCTCAGGATCACGGATCAAAATTGCTATCGGTATCAGAGATCAAAATTGCTGTCAGGACAGGGATCAAAACCGCTCTCAGAATCTGGAATTAAAATCGCTCTCAGGATCTGAAATTACAACCACTTTTAAGGATCGAGGGCCAAACCCGCTCTCAGGATCAGAGATCAAAATCCCTCTCAGGATCAGGGATCAAAACCACTCTTAATGATCGGGGATTAAAACCACTGTTTGGATCAGGAATCAAAATTGCTCTCAGGATCTGGGATTACAACCGCTTTTAAGGATTGGGGTCAAACCTGCTATCAGGATCACAGATCAAAATTGCTCTCAGGATCAGAAATCAAAATCTCTGTCAGGATGAGGGATCAAAATCACTTCCAGGATTTGGGATTGAAACCGCTCTCAGGATCATAGATCGAAATCGCCCTCAGGATCTGGGATTAAAACTGCTCTCAGGATAACGGATCAAAATTGCTCTTAGGATCAGGGATTAAAATCACTCTTTTAAGGATCGGGCCCAAAACCGCTCTCAGGATCACAGATCAAAATTGCTCTCAGGATCTGGGATTAAAACCACTTTTAAGGATTGGGGGTCAAAACCGCTCTCAGGATCATGGATCAAATTGCTCTCAGGATCAGAGATCAAAAACTGTCAGGATCAGGGATCAAAACCACTCTTTTAATGATCGAGGATTAAAACCGCACCTAGGATCAGGGATCAAAATTGCTCTCAGGATCATGGATTAAAATTGCTCTCAAGATCTGGGATTAAAACCACTTTTAAGGATTGGGGTCAAACCTGCTATCAGGATCACAGATCAAAATTGCTCTCAGGATCAGAAATCAAAATCTCTGTCAGGATGAGGGATCAAAATCGCTTTCAGGATTTGGGATTGAAACCACTCTCAGGATCACAGATCGAAATCGCCCTCAGGATCTGGGATTAAAACCACTCTCAGGATCACGGATCAAAATTGCTCACAGGAAAATTTAAATTGACGTCTCACTATTACAAAGGCCACTATTACTTTCGAGGCCATAAGTGTCTATTTATACAGTGGTCTTTCCCTAATCAAACTTGTCGTCCAAACATTCCAGTAATCCGAAATGGAAAAAAAAGTCGACAATTCAGAATGTGAAGGAAACAAATGAGAGGAAGAGAGGGAGAGTGTGAAATGAAAAAATATAAAGATAATTAAATAAATTACCAAAAGTAATTTTTCTGAGATGATATCATTTCCTATAAGCGAGGCCAGAAGTGGTAGATCTTGTGTAGACAGTTGTAGACAGCGAGCTAGATTCTGCCTCGAATACTCTTTAGTTGTCATTCTACGAAGGTTTAAATGTTTTCCCGACCAGTAATGCCTCGCCCCTTCGTATATGACAAAATCTGTGTCTTGGGCTAAAATGGCAAAGCAATTGTTCAGCTTGGCGTATCTCGCTATTTCAAGGTCGCATTCTTCAGTAGAATAGTAGGCCTAAAAATAAGTGTTATTAACATTTTTTTTTTCTTTCTTCAAAGCTGAAAAACAGATAAACAAGCAGTTTGTTCGTCTCTAAATATCCTAATTTATGTTTGGAGAGATGGCGAAAATGCACAGACCAACAAACGAAAATGGCAAAATATCCGCTTACCAAACTAACAATAAGCGGAAAAAACCAAAATCATTGAAGCGAGTGTGGAGAGTTCATTCACGAGACTGATCTGAGATACTAGGCATTCAACGTATCAATGCATAATTTGTTGAAGTAGAGAGGAGCGGTTAGGAATGAAGTGTTTTAGAAAAACTCCTTTTTCATTGTTTTGCCAACATTTCGACCTTTATTCGAATCACCTTCAGAGCAAAACGTGTGGTGCTATTCTTGTGGTGTCATGTTTTTTTCATGTATATCACACAACATTTTCATGTGAAACAAACACGACACCACAAAAATAACACCACACTTTGTGCCTTACAAAAATACTTTATTCCTGGCTGCTCCTCACTGCTTCAACAATAACAACTGATATTAATGATTTTTGAACAATTGATTTAATGATGACAAATGTCCTCAATTTTTACCTCAATGTTTGGACCAGTGAGTAATTTCACCATCATATTGACCCTACTCTTTTTACAGTCTTCTGGGAAGCGGTATGGATTGATGTCCAGCTGGTCAAAAATGTACTGGATGTTCTTGACCTCCTCGTGCCGCCTTAGCTTCCACGTATCGACCTTTGAAGGCTCCAAACAACCGTCGATGAATATAACGAGTTCGGCTCCAAGATCGGTGAAAGACTTGTAAAAACGTTCCAAGAGGTAGGCCATCTCTTTCGACTGGCCACCACTGAGCCACGCCACGTCTTCAAATATGAAGTATATGCATGAGTAGATATCGATCACAACCACTGGCTTCCCTCTGCCTTCTCTCCTATAAAATAAAAATATCGAATGAGTTTAAGATAGAACATGTGAAATGTACTCTTGAGGTCGCAGGGTGGTGGACCTGTAGTTTGGTGGTTTCCGATCTGTTTGGTCTGCCTATCATCAATGTTTTGATACATCTGACCTCTGTGTGATACCTAAAGGCAACCTAAACACATTTTCATCCATATACAGACTTTATGAATGCCAGCATTGGTATATATTTGTTGTACGTATATTGTAATATATTATAATTATACCAACATACCATAACAGCACGGATATGCAGACCATAATGACCAGAAACAACCAAACTTTCGTACAGATGTTTCTATGAACCGTCAGGATCCTTTAACATACAGATCTTTATGACCTATCAACTTGTGTTAAACACTTTTTATCTTCACCATACCAAAACTCAATGTAAGCCTTTTGATCGTTAATTAATCAAGTTTGGTTATGATAGTTCTGCAGAAACTACCCCAACTAAATGGGTTGATAGTTGTGTGGAGCTACCCGGAAGCTACCCCCTTTTAAAAGGTCTTACAGTTCTGCGGAAGCTACCACCATTTGAAAGGACTGATGGTTTTTCGGAAGCTACCTCTATTGAAAGGGCTGATGGTTCTGTGAAAGCTACGCCTTTTGAAAAAGTTGTCAGTTCTGTGGAAGCTACTCCCCCTTGGCAAGAACTGACTATTCTGCAGAAGATACTCCCCCTTCAAAAGGACTGACGGTTTTGTGGAAGCTACTCATTTTGAAAGGACTGACGGTTCTGTGGAAGCTACCCGTTTTGAAAGGACTGACGGTTCTGTGGAAGCAACCTCCTTTAAAAGAACTACAGTTCTGTAGAAGCTACCCCCTTGGCAAGAACTGACAGTTCTGTGAAGCTACCCACCTTGAGAGGACGGACAGCAGGTAGCATTTCGTAAACATTAAAACTGACATTAATTTACTGTTTTAATTAACCTTTCCTCGAATATAGTAAGGGCAAAAAGGACAAAACCATGGATACTCACAAGTAGGAATTGATCATTTCCTTGATGTCAACGTCGTAACAGCAGTCGGCCGTTCTCTCCATGAAAGTCTGGAGCCTCCGGACGCCCATTTCGACTGGAGAGCAGGAGGAATGTCAAAATCCAAAAGTCGAAGACAGCAGCCAAACGAGATATGTTACGACAGAAGATAAAAATTATATACAAACATACAATATATCGAATCGTTCCTTCCGATATTCAGTAAATTCAACACTAAGTAGTACCATCGAAAAAATCGAGTTTATCGATAATAGATTGCTCTTAGAAATAGAAATATGATACCAGAGATGGGAAAACTCACTCTTTTTAAGGATCAGGGATCAAAATTACTCTCAGGATCTGGGATCAAACCGCTCTTTTAAGGCTCGGGGATTAAAACCTCTCTCAGTATCAGGGATCAAAATTGCTCTCAGGATCAGGGAACAAAATCCCTCTCAGGATCAGGGATCAAACTGTCTTTTAAGAATCGGGGATTAAAACCGCTCTCAGTATCAAGGATCAAAATTGCTCTCAGGATCAGGGAACAAAATCCCTCTCAGGATCTGGGATCTCAACCTCTCTTTAAGGTTCAGGGATCAAAACCGCTCTTTTTAAGGATCAACGATCAAAACCATTCTTTATAAGGAGAACCGTCTAAACTACTTGCTATGTCATAATTTTGGCCTCCATAAATCAATTAAAATCTGAGATATAAAATAAAATGTTTGAGATGTTTTTGTTGATATCCTTAATTCTCTTACTTATAATGATGTAACACCTCAAAGTTGTTGGCATATGTTGAAAGACAGACAAGCCAGCTTTTCAACTAATGTAAAGCTGAATTTGGTGAAAATTCAGGGGAGTTATGAATTCTGAGTCGACTAGACTATCTTAGAAAAAAAATTGTCTTCAACTAATCAAGCTCATAAATGCCTATATTTTGTTTGTGACTCAACAAGTTATCTTGACTCTTACTGAGAAACTTTTGTTTAAGTTAAATCTTAAAACAACATCTATGCGATTTACCGCAATTTTTTTCTGACCATGCCTATTCCTGGCACCTAGTGTTTTTTGATTGACAAAATTGGGCTCTCTAATAGGAGGAAGATCTAGCGATTTTTAATTTTTGAGGGAACGACTGGGACTCTATTCGATCATTCTTAATTGCCCTTTCCACAAGTGTTGAAAAGGCTCTGCAACTCATATATATATATATACATGCGTACATATTGTGGCCTAACCTAGTTTGGCGCATCTATGGGACTGGATATTCCACTGAGAAGATTCTCCATCATTCACGGATTCATGCTGATAAAAACATGTGTACCAACTAGAAACTTTTCTACTATATATACAATTAAAATTTGAGAGTTGGGTTTTTTATGTTGTCGACTGGCCACAAGCATTCTGAAAATGTATTTTGTAAACTAACCTATTTTGGTGGATCCATGTGGTATTGTACACAGACTTCATAGCCAATTAATTTAAATAAATTTTCTATATTTATAATAGTTTTGAATTATCACAAATATTAATTGCTAGTATGATTAAATTTATAATTGTTAATTCTGATGTCCAGGGAGAGTTACCCAACAAGTTCTGTTATGTTGTAAATGTCCATATTTTTAATTATTGTTATATGTATGTGGTAGTAACTGAATTGAATACGTAAAACTCCTTTAAAAGACTTTATTTTTATAAAACAAGAACAAACACTGCGAGTCTTCCATCATGAAGCGTTTCTCTAACCATCTTTCTTAGAGCCTGTCGACCCAACTGCGTCATCTTTAGAATCTTTTTAGAAACTTTCCTCTTCTACGGCTGGCCTGAGGGGGCCACCAGCTGGCGGTGCCCTCTTCCAACATGTATATTATTATTATTTTTGTCTCAGTTATCCATTATGATTTATGTATTGTTTAAACCCTTGTAGAACTTGTAAATGTGTATATTTACCCATGTAATTAATTAATAATAATTACTAATGTAAACATTTTAACATCTTAATAAAACTTTTTATACAATATACAAGAGCATGTCATCACCTTCGACTTTTTTTTTTTTTAAGAAAAATAACTATTCTGGGACTGGTGTCACCTAAGAATAATTTACATGAAATAAATAAAGGAAGTTCCTTCTATGAAGTTAAAAGTAAAAAAAAAAAAATATATATATATATATAGAAATCTTGGCACAATGAATACCAATAAGGCAGGACAGAAGAAAAAATTACCAGAATATTAAACAAAAATAACAAATGTTAATGTGAGGTCTCTGCTTGGAGGGAGAGGAGGTGATTATACAGGTGGGATTTAAAGGAGGAAAAGGAGGCAGCATGACGAATAGAAAGGGGAAGGGAGTTCCAGAGTTTAGGGGCTCAGAAAGGATGTTTCGAAGGTATGGGTTGTATGTTGCGGAAGGATAAGATCGATTGGGGTTGAGCGGGTCTTATGAGTGAGATGTTGAATTGGAGGGATTGGATGATGTAAGGAGGACGACGAGTGTGGATGGACTGGAAAAGAAAGCAACCTAGGAAATACTGTGCACGGAAGGAGGGGAATAGCCAGGAAAGTTGGGAATACAACCCCGACACCTGGGATCCCATACACAAATCTTACGCAATAATTCATAATATGCTTCAATTGCGCGTTCTCCCCCTCCAAGAGACCACCGTATGCCAAACAGCTATAATCGAAGAAGGGAAGTATAAGGGAAGATACAAGGAATTTGTGGGTGGAGAAAGGTAAGAGGAGCCAGGACCGACGAAACAGGCTGAGGGAGGCGATGGAATGGCGGGAAATTTGGGAATGCCAGGAAAGGTTTTGGTCAAAGACTACTCCTAGGTTTTTAACCGAAGAGCAGAAGGGAATGGGATGGTTATTTAGCATGAGAGGTGGGATGCTGGGGAGGGAATTGAGGAGTTGCCTGGACCCGATAATTATGGCGGTGGATTTGGATGGTTTGAGGACTAGGGAATTTTTATGCGCCCATTCGTTGATGGAGTTTAGGTCTTTTTGGATCTTGAGAGTGGCTGAGTGAAGATCGGAAGGGTAGAAGGATATGTATATTTGGGAGTCATTGGCATATAGGTGATAGTTATAGGACTTGATGGAATCGGGCAGATCATTGATATAAATACTTTCAAACCGACTGTCACATCAATTCCTTTGACACTACAGTACATGGGAGCTTGGACTATCATTTCCATCTTCATCTCCTTGTTTTACTTTGTCACCAACTTTGTGTACAAATACTTTGAATCTAAAATTTCTAGCGTTGTATAAATTCATTTTTAATTTTTTTTCTTTTATTATTTAAACAATGTTTATAAATCCCAGGCCCTGAAGATGATCTCAATAAAGCTTGAAACAATACGATAAAGAAAATGTTTTCTAAAAACTATGTCACACTAGACGGCCTCTCATGATCTCCAAATAATCATTTAGTGTAATGAAATTTACAGCTATAGTACAGAAAAAATTAAAATGCTAGGCATAATCATAAATTGCAACATACTAATTATTATTTGAAAAAAAAAAAAGTTTAAAATATTATAAGGGAGAACAACTTTATTTTTCATACAGATAGAAACATACAAATCTTTGCCTTCTACTTTTAGTCCAATGTTTCAATGTCAATTGTTTTTATGGTTCTGTGTGTCACGAGTGTGTACTTTATCGTTACATCAGCGTGTTGATCCCTTAGAGCTGAAATTAATATGAAATTCGTAAATATTAAATCAACTAAAATGTTTTAGTTAAATGATAGGCTATTTACTTTAAAGGATGAAATGTGAATCCTAGCATTCCCCAGCATCTTAGACAATGTCTTATAATGCTGCAGGTCGTATTTCTTCCTTGGGTTACAATATGTCACCAGTGTATGAAATAGCCGCTTCGATCAACACTCGCACGTTTCCAACGGCTTTCATTCCAATTATCAAATTTTGTAAGTAATTTAATGAGTCAAACACTCTGAAGACATCTCTGGAAGCATCATAACCTCAGCAACTTTTATCTGGGATTGAATGAGGCCAACACTAAAAATATGTTGTACTTTTAATTTTTCTCGTGTTACATTATTTATTTAATGAAAATTACCTAGTGATTTTTTCCGTGACTGTGGGTTCTACTTGCAGACGGGAATTTACCTCTATAATGTAAAATTTGTTTTGCGCTTCGACTAGAAATTCAAAGATTACTGCGTTTTCATACCCTACGTGTTTTGCCAGCTTCAGTGCACTTTCAAGTATTGTATCAAGTACCTAAACCAAAACAATTATTATACGATGATAAAAAAAAGGATTGATATTTCAGAAGATAATTCATTTACCTTTGATTCCAATTTTGGTGCGGGGTCGATTTCAACCACTTTTTAGTGTCTCCTTTGTACAGACCAATCTCTCTCAAATAAGTGGATGTTTCCAGCTTTGTCTCTGAGAAGTTGCTCGATGATATGGCTGGGTTTTTCAATAAATTTTTCAATGAACGTTGTTCCATTGCCAAAAGCATCTGTAGCTTCAGAGCTTGCTCGTCCGAATGCTTCTGCGACATCCTACTTAAAAGCAACAATTTGAATACTATACAGTTCAATTAAAAACCGAACATTTCTTCTGATACCTTCATTTCCCTGATGACTCGCTTTCCTCTTGTGTCGCCACTAAAAGCCCGTTTGATATTGCATCGAGCCCATGTTTCTGGCACAATTTGACTGCTTCATCTGATGTTTTAACTGGCCCAGGTGTACCTGAATATAATAAGACAAGAAAATTGATTCAAACTTTTTTTTTTATAAAATCTTTTTACTGGACTAGAACAATCAGCATACCAGAGTCAGCGCTGCCTGTTGCGTGGTAACTTTATCTCCCATCTGCTTGATAAATTTTGAGGAAGGACCAATGAATCTCAGACCTGCATCTATAGTGGCTTTTGCAAAATTGGCTCTGAAAGAAATCTGTATCCAGGGTGGATTATGTCAACACAGCTTTTCTTCAATTTGCACAAAGTTCAGTTACTAAGACTTGCTAATTAACAATAAACAATGTAAATGTTTGTATTCTTACCTTTGCAACTTGAACGATTTCAGGTATATTACGATGGGCCTGGACATTCCTATTACTTATTTCTCGTCTGCCTTTTAGCTGAACATCTGCATTTTGTCATGATCTGAAAACATGGCTATTGATTTTTTTACCAATTCAGCACAGGCAAAAAATACCCTGATGGCAATTTTCCTGATGAAGAGAAAAATTAAGCTGTCACATCGCAACTTTTTAGAATACAAAATCTTTTACCTCGATTGTCCACTAAAACATTTTTAATCAGTCCACTTTGCTTTGTGAACTTGTTGTCCATCTGATGTGACAGTTCTCTTAAATAGGTGTCGCAGAAGCATTTGGGCGAGCAAGCTCTGAAGCTGCAGCAGCTTTTGGCAATGGAGCTATGTTCATTGAAAAATTTATTGAAAAACCGAGACATATCAAAGTACAGCTTATCGGAGACAAAACTGGAAACATCCACTTATTTGAGAGAGACTGTTCTGTACAAATGAGGCACCAAAAAGTAGTAGAAATCGCTCTCGCACCAAAATTGGAACCAAAGATAACTGAACAATCTTCTGAAAAATCAATTAATTTTAGTCATTTTATAATAATTGTATGTGATTTGGTTTAGTATGAGATGCCTTACTTGAAAATATGCTGAAGCTGGCAAAACACGTAGGCTATGAAAATGCAGGAACCGTTGAATCCCTGGTTGAAGCGCAAGACAAATTTTACTTTACAGAGGTAAACGCCCCTCTCCAAGTAGAACACACAGTCACAGAAGAAATCACTGAGTAATTTGCATTAAATAAGTTACCCATGTACTTGTATTTTTCTCGAGAAAAATATTACATACTTTTAGTGTTGACCTCATCCAATCCCAAATAAAAGTTGCCGAGGGTATGATGCTTCCAGAAAGTCTTCAGAATATTCGACTCGTTAAATTACTTTCCAAATCTGATAATTGGAACGAAAGCAGTCGGAAACGCAGGAGTGTTGATCAAAGCAGATATTTCATACACTGGTGATATATCAAACCCAGCAAGGAAGAAATATGGCCTGCAATATATAAAAAGAAAATTATTAATTAAATGAAATTTTATAAGGAAGAAAAATAGGAAATTTATTATTTAAAAAAAAAAGTAAAACCAAATCGGATTCCGCCTTGATCAATTAGGCTTAGTACGGACTAACTAAAATAATTGTTTTGCCTCTGTCATTTGCACATCTAGAATTTTGATAATTTTTTTTTTTTTGACTTTCGTAAAAATGTTGCGGTTTAGTCCATTGATATCTTTTTAGCCCGCCATTTTAAAACAGCTGCAAGTATCACAGTGTGGGTTAGGGATAACAAAAGAATGAATATAATTCTTGTAATTTTGTTATTATGTAAATTAATATGTAATGAAATTATTATTATGTAAATGTTTAATTTTTTGAGGTTCAAATGTTTGATATGAGTACCTACGATATTTATGACCTAGTGCTATCAAAAATTTTCCATCAATTTTACCATCAGAACTTTGTAACTGCTTTTGTGAACCCTGAATCAATTCTACTTTTGAATTAATCTACTTCGTTACGCTGTCTCTCGTTCCGAGACGAGCTGACCTCTGAATCCTGATTATTAGGAAACAGACCCCCTAAAGGTCTAATTATTACCGATTAATTAAAACGCTTTTTGTAAAAGATGATTCTACTCACAATTTTTTTCTTTACAACTGCCAGATTATAAGCTTAAAGCTCGTGATCAGGAAAGGAGAAAAATGAAATAAAAATAAATTGAAATTACATGTTGAGGGAAGGGCTTGTAACTCATTTCAGTCTGATTACGAGCTTTAAGCTTGAAATTATTTCTATTAAGTAAAACGTTATTAATTAAACAGGAAAATAATTATAATTAACATAAATTAAATTTCCTTTCTAAATTTTAAAACTAATTTAACTTTTTTTATTTAATTTAAATAAACAGGACTTTCATCTTTAAAAAAAGAAAATGGTGGATTGGTACTTACTATTTAATTATGCTGCGAACCATTGCTTTTTCAGCGAGCTTTTCTTAGCACCTAACAATTTAGGTCTCTCAAGCACGAATGGGCTTGATCCCCGGACTTTACCCTAAAAGTGGGGATCTCTTTTTTTTTTTTTAAAGCACTTACGACTAATCATGATGTCTAAATAACAAAGTTGTCACTATGAAATAAATACAAAATTTCTCGTCCTTAAAGTCCTGGAAAAACTAGTATTATTAAAACAATTTAGAAATTTTTTCCATGGAAAATTTGACGATGTATCAAAGCTATCTTGCATTAAAGATGATATTTTTGGGTGAAGTCTTTGCCAACGATATCTATTAAGTCGTCTAACGGAACGTCCCTGAAAAATTTAGCATATAACCCTCGTGTATTTATAAATTCTCATTAGAACCCTTGTTTAACGAAAAAAAACATTTACTCGGATCGGCATAATTATGGAGTAAAACATCTTTAAATTTGATAAAATTTAATCTTATCCTGGGAAATCTGAAATATTATTTTTGAAACTGATCCGGACATATTTTCAGACAATAAAATTTTTCTTACATCGATTTTTGTGACGGCTAGTTATTTCATAAATATTTTTTAAGAATTTAAAATTGACTCTGTATTATACAGTTTTAAAAAGTGGTTAGAAATTTAGAATAATTTTTCGCGAATGCGTTTTGGACATTTTTTTATATGGAAATATGAATGTCTGTCTGTCGGCTTTCGAACTCAGAATCTGAGTTTCATTAGAATTTGAAGCCAATTTCGGAAAATAAACAGACTGGGTTCGTTTTCGCGGAAACCGACGTTTTGGAAAACGGATTTTTGTCCGGTTTTATTTTCTTCATTTTCCGTTTTTGTTTCCGTATCCCCCGTTAGTTTGAGCTAATTTATTTTGAGCGACGCATTCCGTTTTTGTTTTTAACTTTTTTAGATTTCAAGTCCGGCTTTCTTTTACGCGGCCTTTTTGAATCGTTGCTCAAAGACGTTCATCGTATTTTTTACACGACGGTATTGAAATTTTGTTCTTTGAGCCGAATAAGAAATCACTCTTTTCATAGTGGAACGACTTGAAATGAAATAACGCAAAAAACAGACCGTTTTTCTATAAATACGTCTACCTGTGGTTATTTCAGAAAACTGCCAATAGCAGAAGCAAAAACCAAACTCAACCTTGCAGAAGGTGAAATAATTGCAATGCAATGAATGAGTCTTCTCAAGAATTTGACAATATCTTAAACAGCTATCTGAGCATATAACACCAAACAAAATAACTTAGATCTGTGTATGTGAAATTTTTTTGAAATTTGGTATTTGCGTTCTTTAATATTATGATTGATGAAAACAAACACCACAGATTTGTTAAAACCTTATTAAAAAAAGCAAATTAATCAATTTTTCACTACCAGTATCTTATGAAAATTCCAATTTGTTTTACAAATTAATTATAATGACCCAACACAAGACTGAAAAGACAGTAAACAAACCGACATTATAAATTATTAAGACGACTACTTGGCTCATGACCCAATATTAGACATTGAAAACAAACTTTTAATTTACGGGACGATTAGACCTCTCTGAGCGTATTGTGAAGTGTGGGGCTCAACCAAAGATTCTAATTTACACCGTCTCCACTCTAAAATTCTCCTTCAATTTATAAATGCTCTTTTTTACATTTAACGATCTACACATCCCGTTTGTACATGAACCCACTATAAAAAATTTCATCAGTCACTGAACACACACAGTAATCTATTAGCACGACATTTATCACTTCCAAACCTGAAAATCCTCCAAGAAGATTGAAGAAAAGTGACTCCGAGACCTTTTCATTGAGTGAAGATTGAACAAAATATCAGTTGTGAAGGAGTGAGGAGATTTCTCCTACAAGAGACTCAAATGATAAATTCAACATATATGAACATACTTAATACAATATTTGTAGTTGTAAATATCAAATAAATATAATAAAAAAATTATGACACTAACCTATTCAGAATTTGTTGCTTCACAACAATTATTTTTTTTGTGTGCTTGCAAATCATTTGAATAAACTCTTTTTATACATATTACAATAATTGTAAGTCTGTTTATCCTGATCTGTAAATTTTTACTGTGTGTTTTGACATTTTATTTTGTGCTGTAAATTATTTGCAGAATTGTCGTAAAGTCCACATTTGTATGCATTTGCAGGAGGAAAAAGCCGGCCTAAAATTTTATTTGCATTAATCAACTTTTCATGAGTAAGCGCACCGGCACAATACAATTTTCGAGAAATGAAAGGCATCTTGTTTAAGGCCCCATTTCAAAAAATTCTAAGCACAGTTAAAAAAATAAAATAAAATAAAACTTAAAAAGTTAATTAATTAATTAAAAACCAAACAAAAAATTCTAAGTGTTTCCTCTTTTGTTTTGCTTCAACAATCTTTAACTAAAGAAATTTTCTTAACTTTCAAATTTTAAAAAGTAAAAAATAATAATTAATGTCAGTTAACTTTTTAAAATTTTAAAACCCCGATATAGCCTTTCGATGACTTGAAGCCCGGGTCAGCATCCAGTAAAGTTTGGATTTTTTTTAATGTTCTTCCTTGACCTGATCAAAATAAGCAATTGTCAAAGCTCCCATTCCTTGTACTTTAAAAGCTATCGATTAATTTGAAGTTGGAACTAAATTTCGACAGTTTGAAAATAGAGTGTCAAATTGCACTAAGTAAATTTTTTTACTAATGATTTTTTAATTTTAAATTGTCCTCATTTCTCATAAAAGAAAAAATATTTGCTTGAATAATAAATTCTACTTTGCAACTTCATGTTGACATAATTTCTAGACAATCCTTCTGGATTATACTTTCAATTTGTCTTTAGATTATTTATCTGTGTTTAAAAAAATTAAATAATTAAGAAAATCTATTAAACTATTAATTAATAAGTGAATAGACATTTTGAAGCTGTGATTGTTCAATAGTATGTAGAATGAATTATGTGTGTAGTTATTATATTATTATTGTATTTAAAACGTGATGTTAGTAGTATAGTATAAGGATTATAGGGAGAAAAAAAAAGAAGAAAAACATCCACTCTGAAATTTAATTTATATTTGTGTTTTCTTCGAACAACAAATTTTGCATCTTTAACTTTTAAAAAAAGGGTATTCTATGAATTGTTCAGAAACAAGTTTGGTAAAACTTCTTTGTCGTCCCCGACCTAACAAAGAAACGCAGGATTTTCCTCGGGAGCTTCGGGCCAAAATTGCCCTGCGTATTGAACACGTCCTTCTGGTTAAAGGTCACATTGTGCGTCGTGTACGCTTTGATCAAAGCGTTCGAATACAACGGATGGATCTGAAACAAGAACAAGTTTTTTTTTTTTGGTAAAGTAAATGAATAAAAATTTGTTGTTTTTCACTTCTCGTCGATACGGAAGATCACATTTCATAGAAAAGATAATTTACACATTTTTAATTAACTAATGAAATGTATAAAACCCCTGAAACATCAACAAGAGGTGCTTAAACAGAAAGGAAATTTTCAGCTTTTCAAACCCCTGATGAGTACTGATTTTAATAAAGTAAAAACCTTGACTTCATTAGTCAATCTAGGAGGAACACAAGATTCTTTCAACATTTTTTTTTTCTCACGCAAGAATAATTTATTTTTACTAATGGAACTTAATAAAAATGCAAAGCAGCGTTTCATTCTTATTTTCTTGAAGAAAACTGGATAAATTTTAATTAATTTCCTTGATTATAACAAGTTTGTCTTGAATAACATTTGGAAAGGACATATTTGACCTAAACTAGCAAGGATTTTTTAAAAATAGTAAATTGTCTTCATGATAGCCCTTCTGGTTCACCTTCTTCTCTCACATTCCATATGAGAAAGAGTTTCAGTCATATATTGGAACTCCAATAACTTTTGATTTGTTTAACCTTTTTCCAAACTCAGCAGGCGGACGATAAAATCTTAAGCATAAGCATCCTGACTCACCAGTTCTTACTATAAACAAAACTACTACATTTTAACGCTACTTAATTAATTTTTTAAAAATATTTTATAACACTATGTTCTAAAATATATAATTTTTAGACTTTTTTTAATGCTAAAACCACTGTTTGCCAAGGTATGCTGCATGTTTAATAATTTATTTATTAAAATGTGAAAAAATAAATCTGTTTGATGTATAGATCAAAGTGGTCTTGTCTTTATTCGATGTTTCATTTTTAAGGTCTTGTGCAAGTATTTTATGCATATTTCTATCTTAAGTAACAGCTGCAGCAGTCTATCGTTTTTCTACGAATATTTAATGCATGTCAATATATTTTCAAGAATTACTTCTCTTCTTAAGATTGGCGAATCATGGTACTCGAGTGGTTAAGACATCAGGCTTTTGGTTGGTAGATGGGTTCAATTATCATCATCACTGCTGGTTTTTATGATGGATATGTGTTTTATGATAGGTTGAGCGGGATCAGGTCTCAGATCCTCAATTCGATCTGACCCCCTTCAAAAATAAGATTGTTTGGTGGAAGAACACCTAGCACACTGAAGGCTCAGTTTACACACGTGTTGCAAGCTCCCAAATTGGAATGGGGTAAGCAGAGTGCAGGATGAACTTCTCCAGTTTCTGGTATCCATAATCAATTAGAAAAAAATACTCTTTCTCCAAAGGGGGATTTTCATCATTATCAAAATTTCTTAGCTTTTGATGAATTTTCCTATGGAAAAACTAACGTATATAATTAACATCAACAGCAAGTAGTTCTGTGATGTAACATTTTATTAATTTTGACCCAGAATAATTTTCCTTAACAAAAAAACTTCAACTGATCAACTTTTTAACTTTGTCTGCAGAATAACATCAGGTCTAGCCATGCAACAAAACAATTTAAAAGTCATAGGGCCTTGAAAACTTACATAAATAATCATTAAATTTTAATAATTTATTATTCGAACAGTAATTGAAACTACCGTTATTATTTAATTAAACTGAAAATAAGTATTTACTTTTAAAATCATAAGGACCCAATTACTATATAGACACTAGCAAAAGCAATTGCAAAAAGAGAAAAAAGTGGCTAGAAAAACTATAAAACTCACCAGGAATCATTGGCATACAATTGCAAATAATGGGCAAAACTTGGGACAGATGGGTGAGTTTCTAATTAATTTAATTTGAACCACTTATTTTTTTTATTTTTACAAGAAGAGAATACTTTTATTTTATGTGTGGTGTTTAGTGACCGTTAGTTAATTTGGAGATTGTGAGATGCGGTCTGGTGTGACGTAGGTTTTAGAAAAACACTTTCTTTATCGTGTCAATGTTTCGAGCTTTATTGAGATCATCTTCAGCGCCTGGGGTTTATAAACATTGTTTAAATTTTAACAATACATTTTTATATATGTTACATAAATTTTATATCCTACATGTATGTGTAAAATTTAAACAATGTTTGTAAATCCCAGGCTCTGAAGATGATCTCAATAAAGTCCGAAACGTTGGCACGATAAAGAAAATGTTTTTCTAAAACTTATGTCACCTTTTACACATACATATACAATGTAAAATATATGTAACATATATAAAAATGTATTGTTAAAATTTAAACAATGTTTATAAATCCCAGGTGCTGAAGATGATCTCAATAAAGCTCGAAACGTTGACACGATAAAGAAAGTGTTTTTCTAAAACTTACATCACCGCATCTCACAATCTCCAAATAATCTTTTATTTTATTGAACACATAAAATCAAATGTAAATAGAAACCAATAAAAAGCTTATGATTATTACATATATTGCTATATGTAAGCAATTTTTATCTTCTTTTTATTTCAGATGTAATTGTGAATGGCAGGAAAAAATATCAATAGTTTAAAATAAAATTAACCGATTATAAAAATTATATCTGTATCATGACTTCACAGGTGAATAAAGCAATCACCAACTATTGATCCTGACCATTTTTTTATTGCTGGAGTTATTGGTTCAGATGTATGATTAATAACTATTTTGGGCTAGTTAATCCCAGGCTTTGCCTTGGCTAGGAAAAGTTTTGTTATCATACCATCTTTCATATATTTGTTTAAAATTTTAAATTATTTAAGCCCTTTTGTGTCTTACTTCTTATGCCTTGGATAACTTTGTGTTTTGGGAAGAAATCCATTGTTTCAAAATTTAAATTACCGTATTATTAAATTTAATGGGAAAACCATAAATGGTTTCTTGTTTATTTACTTTTTTTTTGTATATTACCTACAATAATAAAATGAAGCCAAAAGAAATTAAACAATATTTTTATAACATATCTAATTATCTATACATTCTATACATTTAGCTATGAAATAGCTGTGGCTTTGATCCTTTGTTGTTAGTTATAATCTGGACATCTGAAGGCAATGCGTCAAATTATTATAAACCGGGATCATGAGGTCAAAAGCGTGGTACGGAACATCTTTTTTAAAATCCTCTAGAAGAATGACATCATGAAGAATCTAATTGTAAATCCATTAGTGTGTTTAAGAGTGCTTACTTCGTAACTTGTTGGACCAGGAGGAGGTTTGCGACAGCGAGTGGACTCGCCGACATCACGGGCGATGATGATGTTATGCGGGCTGGGAAGCACGCCGTCTTTGCTTGGAAAATAGGAGTTTGGTGCTGAAAATACAACAAAGTACAAAAAAAAATTAACATACGCTAAATATTTAAAAGCTGTTATTTTTGTTACAAAAAATAGGTTTTTTTTAAACAGACAATTTTTTTAATCCTAGGTAGTTTGAAAGTTGGGCTATTTTTTATATGCTGCCCCCTTTGCTGTAGAACTAACTCATTGACATTCATTGCTTTTCGCAGTACCTCCACACACTACTAAAAATGACAAAAGAACTCTAAAAAAACAGTAGAAAACTGGTTGAAAGCAAGACAGACCAAAGCTAATGAAAGCATTAGGTCTTTACTGACATTACAATGAAAATATAAGTACAATCAATAGTTGCGCTATTTTTTAGCCGGTAAAATTTGGCTTCAGTGCCATCTAGATCCTTCTGGAAAAATAAGTTGAACTTTGAAACTTCAGTATATTGCTGGTAAAGTTATAAATTACTGTTGATGGCTTGTTGAAAAAAGAATATTGAATACAAAGATGGTTGATTAGTTTATATATATCTGAACCCACTGTTGCACTTACCAGTAATTTTTTGGCCTGAGATATTGCAAAAACAAACTACAACCAAAATAAATGCAATGCAAAGTCTAGCTTGTTCATAAAAACTCTAAATTTTGAATTACAGAAAAATCAATCCTTACATCAAACCGAAAAAACAAGCATCAAGGGTTGAAGAACTTATGAACAATCCATGAATTGAATAAGAGCCTGGCATTATAGAAATAAAAAGGTCATTCTTGTAATAATGATTAACCAATATTCAGCAGAATTTTGGACAATGTACAGGCTTGTTTGCCCTTCAGAAGAAGCACTTGAACACAGAATATTTAGGGACTAACCTTTACCTAGGTTACTAAGTATGAAGAAGACGAAATTGCCTCAAACGTGAACAAAAAAAGCTACAATTGGAGTCGAAACTATTCTATAAACAAAAATCAAATCAGAAACTCCTTAGAACTTTCAATTAGCTCTTTAATGTTCTGCATAAATATGTAAAACATGATACCCAGGCACTAACCTATACGTACATTTCAAAGTCTAAAGAATCTGAAGAAATCGCCACAAATTAAAAAAATTAAAAATAATCTAAACCATTTTATAAACAACAACCAAATCAGAAATGCCTTACCACTTTCAATTAGTTCTTTACAATTCTAGAAAAATATCTGAACACAGAATATTCAGGAATTAACCTAATCATAGGTTCTCTCAGTCAGAAGAAGAAGAAATTGCCACAAATTATATATATAAAATAAATTAGAAGGAATCCAAACTATTTTACAAACAAAAACCAAATCAGAAACTACTCCTATTATAATTAGCATTTTGCTGGATCTTATGATGGTTCTAGAATAGACAGACAACAGGAAAAGCATAAGGGTTTTAATCAAATCCTGCCAGCCTTAAAAAAACGTAATGAACAATCACTTCCTGTTTTAATTTAACACAGTGAAATGATTTACTATTCAAAATTGTTTTGAGAAATTCATAAATTGTGTTTTACTGTAATCCAGGATACTTTGAACTGAGAAGTCCATAGAAACTTATCTTTCACAACCACCTGAAGAACTTTTATTACCAGACTTCATTACTGATGTCAAACTTTCACCCTATCCTTATCAACCTACTGTCAAAATGTGCAATGAGAAATCCACCATTCTATTCTTGTCAAAATATTAATGCAAAAATTCACAGACTATGCAAAAAAGATTTGTAATGTAAGCATTTTTGAATGTCTTAAGACAAATGGCTAAATTAATTGAATTTATATAATTTTCCATGTTGGCCAAACAAAAGGAAAAGTTTCTTAAAGTTACAAATCTTACTCTTTGAGTATCATTTACTATTCTTATTATCAACATTGCTAATATTGATTTAAGCATATGTGATATCATGCACATCAGAATGTCCAACATTAAAAAAAAAAGAAAAAAAGAGGATGTTTTAGGCAATGCTTTTATGCTCTTAATGCCACATTGAACTTTACCTGCATTATAATCTGGCTCTTTGATTTCCATGATCCTTTTTTCGGTGTTGTTAAAGGAGCGTTGAAGTTTGGCATGGCTGCAGTGGCGTGTGTTTGTACTTGGATGAATGTCGTAATCAAGAGGAGAAGGTGAACTCTAAAATCGAAATAATTACTCATTTTTAAAATAAAAATACGGAAGAGGATGAAAATTTATTTACATACCTCACATTGCTTAGGAAACCTTGGCGTTTTTGAACTCAAGATTCCCAGTGGCTCTTCACAAAACCGTATTTTCTTTTTAGGCTGGAAAAAAAACAAAACAAATTTATTAATTTAAATAAAATTTATGTTGATTTATTGACTGTAGCGTACCCGTGTGTCGTATTCAAATGGCGATGGCGTTTCATTTTTCAAATTATGTAACGATCTTTTCGCAGTGTTGTTAAAAGGAGCGACAAATCCTGCAGAGATCGGTGGCAATTTTTTGCAAATATTAAATGTAATCGTATTGTACGTTGGGTTATAATCAGCAGGACCTAAGTAAAAAAAAAAAAAAAATTGCAAATGAACATTCAGATCTATGTTACAATTTTCAATATTATAGGTACTAACCTACAGGGTGAGTTTTCAACTTTGGAAAACTAGACGTATTATTAAAAGGTGGACGTTTCTTATTATTAAGACACGTAACTCCAAAAGTGTCTTTAATATAAAAGGACTGTGGTGAAGGTTCATCAGAACAAACGGGCGATTTTGCACGCTGAAAGTTACAAATAAAATATAAATAACTTGTATAAGAACTACATTTCTGTAAAAATTCTCCTTTGATTGCTTGGTTTTGTAATTTTTAATTTATAAAGTTACTATTAATGGAAAATTTCTAGTTTTATGGTTTTGTTTTGTTTTTCAATTTTGTTATACTTTGTACTTGTTATTTTATTATAAATAATGTTATAATTATAATAAATATTGTTTGGTTGATTTATACTTAACTCTGCACACACATGTACAGAGTTGGGCTTATGACTTCTTGCAGCAAACCACCAGAATTTCCCAGTTTTGGTTTTGGCAGTCCAGGTCTGTACTACTGTTAAAGTTAGGCTCCAGGGGCTGTCACCAGCTAGGTTATTTCAACCCACAATGTGTGCCATTTTTAAATTTACACACGCTAAATTTGTCACTCAAGCTAGTGAAGTACTTGATATTCCTCCATCACCCTTTATTAACTAACATAACTGAGGGTCGATTGGGGTACTCAATTATTATGCAATCGGTCCTCTCACACTGAACATTCAAGCTAATAAATACATTCACTCTTAGAATGTACGAAAGAGAACACAAAATAAGATATCTAAGTACTATATACAATAAAACTCACTGTTCAAGCACAATTATCGTACCAGTTGGTATTCCTACATGCTCTCTATATAGAGCCAAAGAATTAAGTGGGACACATCAACCTTTTTCTACATGTCGGAAGTTATGGGGTTTGGTCAGTATTATAACTATATCTATTATGTTATAATTAATATAAATATGTTATTAAAATAAACAAAATTTATGCAATAGTGAAAATACCTTTGCTTTTGTAAATGTTCCTTTTACATTAAAAGATTTTTTCTTAAAAATTGAAGGATCAACAAATGTATCAAAGGGGCCAGGCAAACTCTGAAACAAACATTTTATAAATTCTCAGAGAGACATAAAACAACGAAAACTTTTTACCTCTTTTTTGCTTTTTTCTAAAGTTTTTTCAATGCAGTTATTAATGCTTTCATTTCTCTGGACCTCCTGTCTCACGCTCCAATCCCAAAGCTGTTGTGGAGTCGGCCCTGATTCTTTGACGTAATAATCAGCGGGGCTTGGGAGATTGCTCTTTGAAATGTTCAAACGATGAGTACTCGTCTTGCTCATGCCCCACCGAGGCCCGGAGTACTTTTTACAACGCAAAGAATTTTTATTCTGAAACAGACATGGTTGGTTAAATTTCCAGAACGCGTTACGGGAAAACAAAATACTCGTCGTACTGGATAATAAGGCTCTCTAATATAAAATGAGATCTTTTTCTTTTTAAAACGAGGGTTACCATCGGGTATTTTGTAAGAATTGGTAGAAGTGACCGGACAGCCATAGCGAGGATAATGCCCACGATAAATCTGCAAATAAAATTATGGAAAACACAACAATCAAAAGAAAATAATACAAAATATACAATATTAAATTTTATTTTATTGCAAAAAATCAAGATTTTAATATAAATTGATCATATTTATTTTTTATTGCAGAATAAATAAAAGTTTTGTAAACTTTCTATTCTAAATGCAAAATTTATAGTTAAGAACCCCCCCCCCCCCAAAAAAAAAAAACTAAAATTTTAATTAAAAATGTTTTCTGTTAACAAGATTACGTACAGGTCAATGTTTTTAAAAGTAATCTGAAAATAGAAAATAAACTCTTTTCAATTTAATATTTATGGTTGTAATAAGACTCACTTTTCCCTTGGGCTTAGCCCGGGTTTCATTATTCTTTTCAGGTGGGGGTTCAGTATTGTCTAAATCTCTAGTTTTTCTGGCTGCGGTATAACGAAGACTACTACCTCCCTGAAATTAGCAAAAAAACAAAAAATAATAATAATTACAATTTTTAAGGATTATTTTGAAGCAGTTTGATGACTCACTATTATTCTATGCTTTCTGTACTTAATGTTGTACTTATTTGGACCAGGGCTACATATCACTGGCAAAGATCTGTGGCCAATTTTAAATCTAAATGGAACAGCTTCCTCTGTAAAATAATTTTTATCACAAGTGAATTATTATTCAAGAAAATAAGAGTTTATCTTATATCTATAACTTCTTGTATTTGTTTGTATTACTGTATTGTATTATATTGTATTTACTGGTTACAGTGTAGTTATTGTTGTTTTATTTTCTTAATAAATTAATATTTGGTTAGTTTTGTCTTGTGGTGAGCGAGGAAAAATTTTAAATAAACACATTAAAGTTTGATCCAACCAACCACTTCTGAACTCTTTTCAGGTATAAAGTAAGTATTAAATATTGTTAAACCGACGTTTTAAATCCAAAGGATAGTAGATGACATAGGTGTTGGGTCCGACAAAAGGGTTTTCTTTTTTGGCGGTCGTAAACTTTCTTTCGCTGCGAAAAAGCATTTTTGTTTTTGGTTGTTCAAAGTCTAACTACTCTACTAAAAACAAGAAATACTAATTTCTAGTTGAACTGATTTTTTTATTTATATTTAAAAGTTCATGTGTATGGCATATGTTTCAATAAAATGAATTACATCCAGTTCATGGAGAGTAAAAATAAATTCAAATTCTGTGCACACGAAAAAAAAAATCTTTCATTTTTTTAGAATTATATTCCAAGTAAATAAAAAGAAAATATAGTTCAATTCTATAAACACAAAAATATTATCAGTATTGACAAAAAGTGCTAGAGAACAAGTACTTCACCATTGATGAATGATATATAAATAGGAAATAATATATAAGAGTGTGAGTTTGTCTAGATTTAAAAATTGCATGTTAAGGGCTGGAATGACCTAGCTGTTGACAGCTGCTGGCATCAAACTTTGGTGGTTGGTCAGATAAGACTTAGGTCTGACCCTGGACTACCAAAACCCAAAATAGGTGGTTTTCTCCTGGTGCAAAATAAATTTTTGTAGTGCTTGGCAGCAATTATTTAAAAACTTATATGCTCCCAATCGTACGTAAGCAGTACGTATAAGCAAGGATAGACAGACCAAGAAGACTATGGTAACTATCAAACTATAGGTTTATCTTCCCACAGACCACAAGAGGAAATATCACAATAAAATGGTTTATGACATAAATTCATTGCGAATAATCTGGATCTCAGTATGTCTGGATGAAAAATAAATTTCATTGCTACTGCGAAGCTTTCGACCTATTTTAATTTCATCATCATGGCAAAACAATCTTAAATATTTTTTTTTTTTTTCAAATCCAGACCATACCGACATCCAGATTATTCATGAGTAAAAAAGTGGTTTGTACGTCTAACACTTTATGTAGATTAATTGAGTTTGAATGTTTCTCTTACAAAGTTTCATATACTTAACTAATATAGCATTTTTCAGTCAAATGAAACGTTTTTCAACCAAATAAAACCTTTTTTCAATAAAATGAAACTTTTTTCAATCAAATGAAACCTTTTTTCAATCAAATGAAGAAACCATTTTTCAAGCTAATGAAACCTTTTTTCAATCAAATGAAACCAACCTTTTTTCAATCAAATGAAACCTAAAACCTAATGATAATAATTATGTAGAGGAATAAATAAATGACATTATAGTACTAACAATAATTTATATGATGATTGAATATTAATATTACAATATTTGTATCGTAAGGCTTAGGTACAAGAACATTTCTTGTGAAAATCTGTATTTATCAAACTTTTCTACATCAACCCCGCTGAGGTTTAATTAAGTAGGATAGAAAAGTGTTTTTGAGTGAGCAACAACTCTCTTTTTAAAAAGATGGTTCCTACTCACAGTAAGTTGTTTAGCAACAATCTGGATTTCGAGCCAATTAGCTCATCATCAGGTTCAAGAGCGTTTTCGCATTGGTGGGGGTATCAGCGGGTTCACTTTTGCAATTCATGTCTAGGGACGTGTTTGTAGAAACCCTTCAACCTGATGATGGGCTAAAGGGCTCGAATTCCGGATTGTTGCGAAACAACTTACTGTGAGTAGGAACCATCTTTTTAAAAAGGATTGAACTCCACACCCACTCAATCATTCATAATTTCTATCAAAGAAAGATGTTGCTTGCTAAAAAACACTTTTCTATCCCACTTAATTAAACTTCAACGGAGTGGATGTAGAAAAGTTAGATAAATACAGATTTTCACAAGAAATGTTCTTTTACCTAAGCCTTACCATTCAATTATTGTAATATTAATAGTGAATCATCATAAAAATTATTGTTAGTACTATAATATCATTTATTTATTCCTCTACATAATTATTATCATTAGGTTTTAGGTTTCATTTGATTGAAAAAAGGTTTCATTTGATTGAAAAAAAGTTTCATTTGATTGAAAAACAGTCTCATTTGGTCGAAAAAAAGTTTCATTTGGTTGAAAAAAGTTTCATTTTACTGAAAAATGCTATAAATAAATGTTGAATTAAAACCCAAGAGTGTTGTTAGTAAGTAATTTACAAGGTGATACGGTAGAACATCAATTTTTCAACTTGTAAAATTAAAACCTTTTAATGACTTACATCACTCTTGTTAAAAACAAAAACAATAAATTTAATAAAATAATTTTGTAATCTTACCTTTATTAAGAAACAAGAGTCTTTTTGCACAATTAAATGAAAGCTGCGTATTCACTAATGTTACAGATTGTCACAAACATCAGGGCTATCGTCTAATTTAATTTAACTCCAACAATATTTCATTTTAAGTAATTATGTAATAGTTAATGGTTTATATTACATTATTTGTAAGTGACAATATATACAGTATTAATAAACTTCTTAAATAGTTTTACAAGACAATAAAGACCCGTTGCTCCGAACTGGTGGATCCTCAACCATGGACCGTGTTCTAACCAAAACTAATAATATTTAATATTTTCAAACAAATGTTCCATTGCAGGCGAAATCATGGTAGTTATTTTTAAAAGCTTCCTGGCTCAGGAGGAAGTTGTTGTTTTGGAGGATGGTGGATGGTGTCCTCAGCGACATGGTCCTCAGATTCGGATCTGGCCTTTTCGGTTTGATCGGAACTCCGGCAGAAATGGTCATTCTCTTCACGGGGCCTTTTCTCACTGTATCACGTGAGCTGATGGTCATCTGGCTCCTGTAGTCATATCTGAGAGTCGAGCAACAAGACCTGCTCGAGAGTACGGCTTTGAAACCGGCTCTGAACTTGCGGTTGAAGAAAGCGTAAAGGATAGGATTGATGCAGGAGTTTGACGCCCCCAGCCACTGCGCCACGGGGAGGAAGGCATGGATCAGCGAGTCCTCGACGCCCCCAGGGGTTAACGGACCACCGAGTTTGATCCTGGTGAATATCAAATAGAGAGGGAGCCAAGAGCAAGCAAACAGTATTATCACCACCATAAGCATCTTGATGACTTTCATCTTTGAACGCTGTATCATGTGCTCGCCATGGGCTTGCGGTTCGCCCGGAAGTTTCCTGCAGCACACCCTCCTCCAAATCAGCAGATAACAAATTGAAATCAGAACCAATGGAAGAATGTAGCACATTACCAAATTTGCCACAACAAAGTAGACGTTCTCACTCACTGGTGTGGGCCATGTTTCTAAGCAAGTCTGAAACAAACAAACAAAATTTTTTTAAATTTATTTCAACTGTGATTTTTTCTCAGAAAACTTAGTTTGCCTATAATTTTTTTCAATAATTTTGATTTTATGTAGTTTTATAAAAAGATCAGTTAATTAAATTCTGTTGTAAGGAAAAATGAATTTTAGATTTGGGCCTTGATTTGAACCGTGTAGGATTTGAGGGATCGAGAGGGTGCTGCCACCCTTTTGGTTCAGGGTTGAAATTACAAAGGGTGGATTTGCCCTCGCACCCCCAGAATGTGCGCAGATGCGATCCCCGGATCGAGCTTTTCTAGATATTAAAAAAAGGGAATAATATAATCTTGTGTTTATTTCAAATCATTTAGTTTGAAAAATTTTCTCGATTGCGTACAATGTAGGTTAAATATAAAGTTTCGCATTTGGTAAAACAATTGCCCTCTTCTGTCTCTTCTTGGAGTATAATACAAGCGCTTTTGAACGGGACTTGCTGCTTATTTTTAATTTAGTATAATTACTAAGCACGTTGTATACAAAAGCGTTCACGTCAGTTTCCGAGCATGTCCATTTGTGGCTAAAAATCTCTCCGAATTGCGTTATTTGTTAGAGGGCTCTTTTATGTTAACCCTTTTATACCCCGTGAAGTGTTCAAAATTTTACTTTACTAACTCAACACGAATTGTTTTGTCAATAAAATGCGAGTATTTTTTTGCAGTTGTTTCATTTTAAAAACATTTGGAACCTTTTGAATTAAGTTTCGAGTTTTTATAGACTGATTTCACTAAAAAAAGGGATGGCGTGAAGTCAGGGTTATAAACAGGGAGAGGCAAAACACTCGTTCCATTTCCACGAATTGGTCATAACTTTGAACATTTGAAAGAGAAATATCAGCCAGACAGTATGGAGCGAGAAAGGGGCTTTCAACTGAAGATGCTGCCCTTAAGTTATTCGAGGTAACTGAAAATAGCGAAATTAATACGTTTTGGGAATATTTTTCGACATCCAAGGCGCCTTCCACTCCGTTGAATGACAACATTGTTAAACGAGCTCAAAAGAAAGGGCATCCCTAAAAACATTTTCAAGTTGATCGTGAGCTATTTTAACGAAAGAAGGGCTGAGATAGCAACGAAGCAAACGGTTACGACAGAAAATGTCACAAAAGGGTGCCCTCAAGGATCAGTCCTAGGCCCACTTTTCTGGAACGTTGTCTTCAACGGCCTCCTGGAAAAGCTGGAGGAAATGGGAGCTCAGTTCGTCGCTTTCGTGGATGACTTTGTCACCATCATAGAGCCCGATACGAAGAAAGAGCTAGAAGAAAAATCAAAAGCAATGGTGACGGCGATCAAAACATGGTGCGAAGAGGCCAAATTAAAAATTGCTCCTGACAAATGCCAATCGCTATTGCTAAAAGGCAAGTTAAGTACAAGCCCCGTGATTAAGATCGAAGGGAAAAGAATCAAGCTGAGCGAAAAGGTAAAGTACTTAGGCATAGTTTTGGGAGAAAGGCTAAGTCCTACAAACCATGCCATCAAGATCAGAGAAATGACGAGATGCGTCTTCTCGAAACTAAGCTCGATCGCGAAATCAAAATGAGGGCTGAGTCCAAGGGCGCTCTCCATCACTTACAAAAGCGTATACCTGCCCATTGCCACGTATGGAGGAGCAGCTTGGGGAACAGAATTGCAAAGGGAGGAGTAGAAGCATCCCCGAGCAGAGTCAAAGAATAGCGCTCCTGAGAAAGACTAAAGCTTATAGGACACCCCCTACTCACGCCCTCCAAGTCCTTGCTTCCGCTGCACCAATAGACATTGTCCTCCACAGTAGAATTGCAATCCGGCAGCTAAGAGATGGAAAGGAGCCAACAATGGTAAATTTGGATGCGCCAGATAGGGAAAGGCTACGAACTGCACCTAGAAAGCAGATCCGGGAGATCCTTACAGTTTGGATAGACAACTTGTGGCAGGAAAGATGGGACAGAAGCACCAAGGGAAGGTTAACCCACGAGTTTCTACCCACTATCGAGGACCAAGCAAAAGCAAAGTGGTTTCAACCAGATTTCTGGATCACACAAATAATGACAGGTCATGGAAATTTCAACGCCTACTTGCACCAATTCCGTAGAGCTAACAGTCCACTGTGTCCCGACTGTGGAGTTGATGACAGGGTCCAACACAGATTATTCAACTGCCCCCTCCTTGAGAGTGTGAGGGAACCAATAAAGCTCCTCTTCCGCCACACTTGGCCACCGACCCTCAACCAACTGGTTAAAGAAAAGAGGACGTTTGAGGTCCTCAAGCCTGTTAGCCGAGCTATAGTGGATAAAGTACCTGATTAGTTTTTTCTTACTATCTTTTTTCTTCCTTTTCTTCCTATGATAAGTTGCTTGTTAGATCTTAGCGTTTCCGTGAACTTTTAATTCCGGGCTGGTTACTCCTTGTACCCATAATTGTTATTTATTTATTAAAATATTGTATTTATTAGAAAGTGTATTCAAAAGGATTAACCAGCAAGGGGGAGACCTATTAGATTAGATAAATAATAATAAGAAAAAAAATTTCCCTTCTTCCTTGGGTCTTCCCTTTCAGGGCAAGGTCGAAGGAAGACGTTAAGCACAATAAGATCCCATAAACTTGCATTCCATTAGAATTAGTTTAGTGGCCGTGGTCCGCCGGTATGGGGTCTCCCTTAGGTACGGCGGGGAGGTGGTTGGGGAAAAAAAAGAATTGGTCATAACTTGTTAATTTAAGACTAATGTCAACAAGCATCTGACAGAATACTATCGACTTTTTTGTAGGCAAATAATTTTTTTTAAATTTATAGTCTATACATATTTGTACATATTAGAAATGTGTGTGCGCAGTATGTTTTTGACACGGTAACAGCACTAACCCTAATGTCATCGCTGTTTCCGGAAGACCCAAGCCTTGAGATATGAGAAACCAACCAATGCTGACACTCACATTCAGTGGAGCAAGGCCTCGAGGCCATCTTCTACTAAAGCGACGTGGAGGGTTCTCCGGATGGGAATGTGTAGAGAGGGCCCGAGCAGTACGGTTAGGATGGATCGAGAGGTTGGTGTGAAACTTTTGGAATCGGGAAAGGATGTGTTAATTGCCAAAAGGAATGTTGAAGTTGTGACGTAGTTAAGACGATCCGTCTGAAGACTTTTGATTGCAAGGATTGAATGAGCTGGATGTCGGACGGCTTGGCAGAAGTATAGGAATGTCCAAAATTGTTGCAGAAGAGTTGTATAAGGTTAGTTTAGTGTTGAAGTAGTTGTCCAAGTTAAGACTTTTATAAGTCTTGTGCGGAGATTCCACGTCAGTCTGCTTTTTTGATATAGTCCTAAGTATTTGACTTGAATGGAAGTCGGCCTCTTTGTTGTTGATGTATAGTGGAAGGCAAGACTGTTTCAATATGAACGTACACTGCGTACATTTTTCTACATTCAGGATTTCCTACCCCTTTTTTCATCAATCTTCGATAAGCTCAAGGTATTCTTGGATATTAGAGGTAGCTTGGAAAGGATTCGAGCTAGACGACAAAATTACGGTATCGTACGTGTAGGTGGTGATGATGTATTGGGGTGTGCAGGTAGGTTAGCAGTATAGATGATTTAAAGGATAGGGCCAAAAATGCTCCCTTGTGGGGCGCCGGCTAGTATCGGTCGAAATTCCGAGAATTCGTTGCCGCACCGCTACTTGAGTTTAGTTGAAAAAAAGGCTTTTCTTTAAAAAAAGACATGAAACTTGATGTATTTTTGCCCATAAACTGTAACAAATTTTTGAAGTGTAACGTATGTTCAATCAACATCTGAAGTCGATGAAATTCGTCTGGTAGATTCAAACCAAAAAGGACAAGCAAACTAGTATGACATGAAAAGCAAACAATATGTATTTTTTTATATTTAAGCTCCCTAAGTGTCTCATAAATGGCGATAATTACGTTTAATACAGTAACAAAGTGCGTAACGGGCTTTTCGAGGATCAGGGGCCGACAATCAATTTTGAAAGGGCTCTTGTTATGCCATTAGTTTTATTAGTGTCGCGTTTCACCGTCATCGATACGATTCTGAATTTTGCCGGAGCAACCTTGCACAACCTCTCGGCATTGTCCGACGTTTCCGGACCGACAATGAAGCCCCGGCCAACAATGGGTTGGAATGTCAGCCGTTCTCCGAGGAGATTCCTGAAAAAAAATCCAAGGATGTCCCCGATGTCGCGTCTCCACTTACAAGATTCATCCATGTGGACGATTTTCTTTCGCCAATTAAACAAAAAAAAAAAAAAATTGAAGAATTCGCGACAACAACAAAACTGGGACGTCGTGATATTTTATTAGACAAAAAGAAGTTTACAAAAACGCGGATATTCGTTGCTAAATTAGTCTATATTGTACAGAGCATCGTGAAATGTTCTACATAGTAAAGCAGTTCACAATCCTTCCATAATCCGTAAATTCTACCTAACATGCTTCAGGGTGAGGTGCAGCAATGAGTGCTCGGATCCGCCATCCCACAAGGGTGTATTCTCTGTCTCATCGTGTTCACTATTTATAATGCTGATCTGCCAATCCATCCCCAACTCCCTGCCAAGCTGCACAAAATGCCGGCATATTATGTACGGAGCCGAATAAAGTAAAGCAGAACGATGCAAAAAGCGGAAGATGAAATTAAACGAGTAAAATGTCAAATCACTTTTTACGCCAACAACAAAAAACAATCGACATTCATGCAAGTCAAATATTTAGGATTATCCTAGACAGACGTTTGACGTCAAATGACCAGAAGATCGGACAACTAAGACAAATGCTAAGATCAAAATCAGACTGAAAAAAATGCACCTGCATACAGAGCAGAACTGTAAGGTATCACGATGCCTTTTAATTTCAACGCAACCAAATATTCCAGTCACAAGTACAATTAATAATTGTGATGACAAAATTACGGCGCGTTGATGCGACAGCTACAGTAACACTGTTGTGTAATGCATGTTTAGCCTAACCCAAGCCCCTTTATTTAAAAACAAAAAAAATCGTTTACATCAAAGATATTATATNAGGTTCTCGGAAAAGAAACTTCACCGTTAGAGTTTATTTGTTGTGAATTTAACCCTTCTATCTGTCCTGAAATCGTCTGTGACCTATAACATTTTGCCGGTAAATCAATTGCACAATAGTAACAATTTCGGTTTATCGTTAAAATATTTACCGGTGAAAGGAAACAAGTTACAATTTGATAATGTGCTTAAACTAATAATTAGCAGAAGAAAAAGATTATATCATCTTCAGTAATTCAAGGGAAACTTTTATCCTGTAATTATTTCCATTTGTCTAATTGTAAATAAAGTATTAAACAAACAAAAAACATTTTAAATCAACTATATGACTGTTTATGCTTTTTCTCAGACAGGAGAAAATAAGTCAAAAGAGAGAGAGAGAGAGAGAGAGAGAGAGAGAGAGAGAGGAGAAAGAAAGTCAAAAGAGAGAGAGAGAGAGAGGAGAAAGAAAGTCAAAAGAGAGAGAAAGAGAGAGAGAGAGAGAGGAGAAAGAAAGTCAAAAGAGAGAGAGAGAGAGAGAGAGAGAGAGAGAGAGAGAGAGAGATATTTCCGTTTTATTTATACATATATCACTCAAGATTTGGTCTCCGGGACCACTGTTACATCTAAAGTGAAATACAATCGTATATTTCCCTGACTCTACTCTACTTAAACAAACAAAATAATTTCTTTTCATACATCATTCATAAATAAAAACCATGTATATAAGACTAACTTGACAAAAACACAAATAAAAAAAAAGTTAATTTCTCCTTACTTAGATAATTATTTACAAAAGTACAAGTACAGACCAGACCCCCCCACTTGTGACAAAAGAAAAATTGCTATACGAGGTCTCATTTTACAAGTAAACAATTATTTTGATTTACATACGAGAACAAATTGTGTAGATAATTAAAGTAAGATTTTTTAAACTATATATGTTTACATTCATATGAAGAGACATTTTGTACTTTTACTTTTTTATTTACATAATTTAATTTATAACGATGATTAGGAGATCATGATGATGCTGTCTGGTGTGACGTAGGCTTAGAAAAACTTTTCTTTGTCGTGCCAACGTTTCGATCTTTATTGAGATCAAAACGTTGGCACGATAAAAGAAAATCTTTATCTAAACCCACTTCAAACCAGACCGCATCTCACGATCTCCAAATAATCATTAATTAACGGTCACTAAACACCACACATTAATTTACCACTTTTACACTTTTTAATTTGTTATGTTTTATACATAGAAAAAATATTTTTTTTTTGAGAGAGAGATGTTTTAGTTTAAAAAACGTGATTCAGATTCAAATTCTTCATCAACTATGATAACCCACCCATTTGATTCTAAAACTTATAAACCTTTTAATTTGTTATGTTTTATACATAGAAAATAAATTATTTTCTTTAGAGAGAGAGAGAGAGAGAGAGAGAGAGAGAGAGAGAGAGAGAGAGATAGGGAGAGAGAGAGAGAGATAGGGAGAGAGAGAGAGAGAGAGAGATAGGGAGAGAGAGAGAGAGAGAGTGGGAGAAAGGGAGAAATATAGATAGATAGAGAGAGATTGAGATTGAAAGAGAGAGAGTGAGAAAGGGAGGGAGAGAGAGAGAGAGAGAGAAAGAGAGAGTGGGAGAAAGGGAGAAATATAGATAGATAGATACAGAGAGTGAGATTGAGATTGAGAGAGTGGGAGAGAGGGATATATATATATATATATATAGAGAGAGAGAGAGAGAGAGAAAATGAGAAAGGGAGTGGGAGAAAGGGAGAGATATAGATAGATGGATAGAGAGATTGGGATTGAGATTGAGAGAGTGGAAGAGAGGGAGATATATATATATATATATATATATATATATAGAGAGAGAGAGAGAGAAGGAGGGATGTAGTTGCTTGTTGAGTTAAAAAAAATGTGATTATGCTTTTTCCTTCTATGATTCTAATTTTGGATTTACATCATTTTACTTTCTCTACTTTCTTTGTCCATTTGTATTATTTTCATCTGAATCGGAGATGTATGAAAAAAAATTAATATTGTGATGACAAAATTACGGCGGGTTGATGCGACAGTAACCTTAAGACTGTTGAGTAATGCTGGTTTAGCCTAGCCCTATCCCCTTTATTTAAAAACAAGATAAATCGTTTACATCAGTGATCAAAACTCATTCCATACGTTACGGAGAAAGAGAGTGAGAGGAAGAAAGGGAGGGAGAGAGAGAAGAAAACAAGAGACTGGGAGTAAGAAAACGGACGAGGTAGAAAGAAAACGGAGAGATAAAAAGAAAGAGTAAAGAAAGACGAGTGTGAGTGAGAAAAGAGAGAGGTAGAGCTTGACAAATATATTAAAACGGCTTATGAATTATTAATAAAATTTTGTTTTCTAGATATTTTTCAAGTGTTTCTGGTGACTTTCTTGCTTATTTTACGCAAATTTTAGAAGCCTCATTTTATTCAAGATGGCATTAAGTAATTTATTTTAATTACCTTTACTTCGCCTACGCCGATGGGGATGAATATAAAAAAAAATTCCCCTTGGAACCTTGACCAAAATCGTTTCTCCGATATGGCCCATAAAAGCAAAATCGGAGCCATTTTCCGCCATCGCGGTTCTAACAACTCGCTTCCGCCCGATTTACACCCTGAGACAAGGGGCATTTCTATAAATTTCAGCCGATTTTAAAGCGGACGGAGAACTCCGAAGTAGGCAGCGCACATCGGCACAACGGTTAAAAAAATACCAAGGAAAAGAGCGACTAATGACCGTTCGGAATTCATCGTATAAAGGTTGTATAAACATGGTGAACCCTCAGAAAATGGGCGAAATATTTACTATAAGCAACTATAATTGAACGTGTAAGCAAGTAGGAACGACGTTTAATTATTTATACTAAATTGACATTGATGTTAATGGCGTAATAAAATAACTAAATCAACTAAAGCTAAAACATACTCTGGCGATAAAACAACGAGAATATATGGACAATGTTGTTCCAAAAGACCATAGACACATCAAAATCATCACATCAAATAGTAAAAATAATATAAAATAATAAAAGTTTTAATAAAAATAAATCATAAATAGTTTTGTGGAATGGATTTGTCAAAAATTTTAGTTGTCGTGTTTAATTTTTTCTTTCTATTGGGATATGTAGATTAATGCACCTACCTCTGAATAAGAATAATTTTTGACCAAAGGATAAAGTTGAATGCACGTTTCAAGAGAACACACGACAGAAACAAGGTACAATAATGAATATGGCAAAGTGCCTGTGGTAGAATATAGGGACTAAATCCTAAGATGACATGAGAATAATTAAATGTATAATTTCTTATGCAATCTACATGAAGACTGAGGAAGAAAGAGAGAAAGAGAGAAAGAGAGAAAGAGAGAAAGAGAGAGAGAGAGNAGAGAGAGAGAGAGAGAGAGAGAGAGAGAGAGAGAGAGAGAGAAGAGAGAGCGAGAGCGCGGGGGAGAGAGAGAGATGCTTGAGTTTAAAAAACCTGATTCCAGATTCCAATTCTTCTTTCTACGATTTTAATTTTATAATTATCTTAATTTACTCTGTCCGTTTGTTTTACTTTAATACGAATCAGCGATGTGCGAAAAAAATTGTGATGACAAAATTACGGCGCGTTGATGCGACAGTAACCGTAAGACTGTTGAGTAATGCTGGTTTAGCCTAGCCCCAGCCCCTTTATTTAAAAACAAGATAAATCGTTTACATCAATGATCGAAATTAATTCCATAAAACAAGAGTGAGAGGGGGAAGGGAGGGAGGGAGGGGGAGAGAGAGTGAGAGAGAGAGAGAGAGAGAGAGAGAGAGCGAGAGAGAGAGAGGAGAATAAAGAAGAAGAGAAGAGAAATAGAACGAAGAAATAAAGGAAATTTTACAAAAATACACTTGAGAATATTTAAAGCAACGAGGTTGGGACTCTGGGAAAGAGAATTTGAACATCTTCTATTTTGGTGGCCTGGGGGTCGAACCTTGGTTTTATCAGTACCACAGTCGAGATTAGGCTCGTGGAGCTATCGTTTCAGCCCCCAACTCAGGTTTAAAGTAAACTTTCACTTTCTCAATCAGTGTTAAATAAGTTCCATCTTATTACATCTTTAAAGTAGGGTTATGGAGTACTAGATATGTCTCCATCACCCTTTATCACGCTTATAAACAAACTATACTTACAGTACTTAGTCTAATTGAGGATCGATGGGGTA